GATGACATATCACTAGGTTGGAAATAAAGAGAGTGATAGGTGGCTAAAGCAAAGCCTGGCATAAATCCATGAAATCTTTAACTGTCGCCTATCAGGTAGGGGAAGGTGTACACTGCCTAGTTGGGGCCATCGAGATACTAAGCACCAGTGTTTTGAGATTGTTGGTGGTGTGGCTGAAAATGATTGACAATAGCGAAGATGCACTCACTCTTTGTGATGCAAACACGATCATTAAACCTTTCCGCTTTTCCTCCTATACATTTTCCCTTGATATTTATTATTCTCTTGGGTTCCAATTGGGACATAGGCTTCAACAACACGTCTCCACTTTGTCCTGTTCTCTGCAGCTAGCCCTACGATTGCACATAGTTTTTTATCTCCTCGTCTCACGACTTCCTTCATGTCATCCTTGGACCCATACCCACCTCACCGTTCCTCAACCAGTTTGCACTCGAGTGCCTGGAGGGCGATCTCATCCGACGGTCTCCTTAACGTGCGCCCAGTCTATCTCTATTTTCTTCAGCTAATTTGTTGATTTGGAAATAGCTCAAAGTTTCTTGTTGCCCATTCTTTCTGATGGTTCACCACATGATCTTCAGCATGGAGCCAGAGAAGTCAGTTATCGATTAAAATGTCTGAAACCTGTTGGAAATGCTTTTTGTGTGACGCCTTCACCAAGTTTCTGACTCATATAAAAGAACTGACTGATTTCAGGGTGACGGACGTCTCTCTTGTCTTTTCGATTCCGGTTTTGACATCCTCATCTGTACCGTCTACTTTCAGTTGAAACGATGCTGCCCAACCAGATAAGTGAAGGAAGTGACCTCTTTCTGCTTAATACAGCCCTTTTAAATTGCTTTGCTTTCTCTAAATTTGTGTGGCGACAGGAAACGCTACACTTCTAGCCACAGCTCTACGTTAAAACTTGTTCAGTCAGTTAGACAACGATTGCCATAAACTACACACGTCAAGTGACAAAATGAGCTAAGGAAAGAGGTTACGTAAACACTGGGAAAAACTTAATAATTGTGAACAGTGTGGTAGCGCACTTTCGATGTACCGAAACAGAATTTTGAAAAATGTGGACAACCGATAAAAAGATGAAGCATTACTGTTGCAATTCATGACACAGTTGAAATAAACTGTAATAAAAGCATTTCAAGAGAAAGTTTAACTAGTCTCCGGACATAATTCACTTGCTTATTATCTAACTCCTGAAATTGAGAGGACTGTAAGTCCCCCGAAACTAAAGCGCAGTACATCAGGCAGTTTTTGTTGCTCTGCGAAAAATGAATGTCTAAGTTCACCAAAGATAACCCACTCAAGAACTAACTAACTAACTAACTGCACCCTAGAGCTGCCTGTCTACTTGTGGCTCGACAAAGTAGCGAACTGAACAAAACCTATGTGACCATATATATTCGCCAGATCTGCATATCTTACGACTTAAAGTAAATACGCGTCATTCATCATCTCCTCTTCTGAGTGACCGCTACACACTGATGATGATCTAAAAGTAATAAGTGTCTTATTCTTCCTTTACTTCAGCGCAGGGAGAAAGTCATCCCTTGAGATAGAAGAAAAGCTACGTCAATTAATCTTCAAAGAAAAAATGAAGTCAGAGAAAACACCGATTTATAAGGCCATGCAAAAAATAGCTACTCAATGACACTACATTTTTACACATTTGGTTCCTTTGATAAGTTTCAACAAAAAAAGACGAGATTTCCAGTTAAGGAGTTCTTTGAGGCATTGATTCACTTTATTTTCAAATGACGATTTTGAATCCCTTTTAGTTTTGTTCACCTGGAATATTTTCCGGATCGTTAAGAACTGTCATCAGTCTTACATATATGCATTATCAGTTCTGTTTATTCACCATAACAACGCCAGAGTCTTTATCAGGTGTAAACATGACGACGATGTTATCATTCCCATAGAATTTCTTCAGTACTGCTGCTCTGTGATCGTCACTTAGCATCTTCTGTTTTTCGGATGGCGATGTGTGTTATTGGTTGGCTGAGTTCAAACTCTGGGCGAGAGGTGCATACTGCTGATGAGTACCAAACTTGAATGAAAGAGACTGACCAGTACACCTTACTGGTTTTCATTGGTTCTCAAAATGATATGAATCACCAGTAAAACCTAAAACAAATCAAATCCCTACAAACCAACCCATGAAAATTAATCTGATGCTGGCTAATGACTGGCTACAAGACTGAGTCAGGGGTCTCAGTGGCAGAATAGTCTACGAGTTCGTCTTGCAATCAGGAGATACTGGGTCGTAACCTTGAAGGGGGTGGCGGGTTTGTAATGCCGATGCCTCTCAAAATAAGATGAAACAGCTGTACAGTACTCTCTCGTTTTCAATGGTTTTCTAACTGATATAAATCCATAACTGACTAGTTTAAAAATTGAACTTTGCATAGAAGTTCAGTGTTCGAATCACCACATTTCATGTACCGTAAAAAGCAACAAAAGGGAGTACAGAGAGATAATAAACAGAAGTGTGAAGGAAAAGAATAGTTTAAATGGAAGAATAACATAGTTTTGTTGGATATGATAAACCACAAAGGGTGGATTTATCTGAGCTCCTGATAACGATTTGAGCTGTAACCAATTGTCTCCAACCGTCAATTGATTCTCACCATCCCGAGGACCCCAACCAGTCAGTCAGTCAGTCCATACCTCCCTACGTGGCTGGTTTAGACTAACTGTTAAAGATCTCATCGACTGATGTCATGTTTTAGTCTGACTACTATTAACTCTTTTCCAACCTAATCCTATGTTAGCTAACATCACCAGTCAAGGAAGGCAACAGCTAGGCATGAGTAAAACTTGTTTTAGACATCTCAATCGCTGTAGCCTCACAACCTCATTGAATAATTTCCCCACCTTAACTAACACTCAACGTCTGAACTCAGCATTACTGATTGTTTATTATGCCACCACTCATCAAGGGAAATAGAACGCAAACACTTATGATCAAAGACAGCTAACCGACCTTTTCTTGTCTTCCAACGTCGACGGTCATTTCCCACTCACCGTTATAAAGGAGGATGTAGCAAATTGCTGCTGTGCAGTCCTCTGGTCAATAACCAGATGGATATCACGCCTACGCCACAGATGATGTATATTAACAAATGGAAAACAAGCCTTCTGTATCTCCGTTGATATTTAGTCAGTGACCAGACCACCATCAGGACTGATGGTGGTGGTACTTTACCAGTTGACTTTCTATTTTAAGACCAGGGAGTTGATGCAGTCCACCCTTGTAGCATCATCTTACACTTTACAGCAGGAGCAAATCGCAGGCCGAACATTCGAAATTTCTGTTGCTCCTAAAAGACCCTGTCTGCATTTTGTTAGTGTCTTCATCTAGGAGAGGGGACGATATCATCCGCATATTCTGAGTCAATATGATTATACCCTGGTAACAAGTCAATCCCTGAGTTACCATGGAATAATCTCAACCGCCAAAGTTGAATCAATTTTACCTAACTGTAATTTTGACAGGTTGCACATGTGGTATTCATTTTATTCGCACAACGGAACCCAATACCTAATACTGTTAACTTCTCACTTTTATATATATATACACCGATGTGCGACAGTTTGACTCGCCACACTCTATGTAGCACACAAAGAAAGAGAAGAAAGTACAAGAAATGCATAATAGAGACAGTAAACAGAGGTGTGAGACAAAGGAATAGTAGTAACGAAGAACAACATAGTTTAATTGGATATTATAAGTCACAAGGAGTGGATGCATCGGCGCCACTGAGAATGATTTTGAGCCATGTCACCAATTGTTTCCAACCATCGGTTTCTACCGTCCCCAAGACCCCAACCAAGAAGCCTACGTGGCTTAAACTAACTGTTGTGGATTTCATTGACTGGTGACATGTTTCGGTTTGACCGCCACTATCTCTTTCCCAGCCTGACCCTATATCAGCTAACATTGCCCGTCGAGGAAGGCGATGACTAGGTATATGTAACACATGTCCTAACCATCTCAGTCTTTGTAACTTCACAACCTCGTCGATTGATTTCCACTGCTTACCTAAAACTCGACGTCTAACCTCAATATTGTTCACCTTATTATACCACTTCACACGGTGGATAGAACGCAGGCACCTATGATCAAAGACAGCTACCTAGCCCTTTCATGTCTTCCACTCTTAATGGCCAGGTCTCACTGACAGCCATAAAGGAGGACGGATCGGACTGCTGGGCAGTACACTCACCCTTTGGTCGATAGCCGGATATCATATCTCTACGCCAGAGATGGGGTAAAATGGCATATGCGAAACTAGCCCTCTGTATCCGTTTTGAGATTTCGTCAGAGATCAACCCGTTGGCACTGGCATCTTCGCCACTGGTACTTCGCAAATAAGTGAAGCGGTCAACGTGCTTTACCCCTTCACTCCCTATTTCTAAACTAGGAGTCAGTGTAGTCCAGTCCAGTCCCGTAACATCATCTTACATTTGGCGGGAGCGAATCTCATGCGAAACATTCGTAGATTGCAGCCCAAGGTGTTCAGAAGACACTGCATTTTGTCAGCGTCCTCGCCTAGAAAGACTATATCACCTGCATATTCTAAGTCAACGAGATTATTCCTCGGTAACAAGTCAATCCCTGTATATATATATATATATATATATATATATGCCGAATGTTATTTCAACTGGATCACACCACGACTCGACGCCAAAGTATACCGAAGTAAGCACCTATACTAACTCCTCTATCATCCATAGAAAAAAAAAGAAGATAAAGAAAAGAGAGGTTTCAAGAAGTAAGTTTATTGTCAGGTTGTTGTGACGTACAAATACGAGAATATTTAATTTTACAATGAATGAGGCTGATTCACCGGGAGAGTACACTGAATGTTCTTAGAATCAAAATCTATTAAAATATGAATGACTTTAACATAAAGCACACATTTATTATTATTATTACCAGTGACTGATAAAGTAAGCAATAAAGAAAAGCCTACCTTTTAACAGCCACTGGATTGATCATAGCAGGCTTACTGCCACCGCCACTGCTGCCGCCGCCGCCGCCGACTAGTTCAGAATTCAGCTGTAATGCTGTCTTTGATACTAAAACAGTAGTTGTGGAAGGATTTGTAGAAGTCGACGAGACAAGACGCAGAGGTACTGTTGGATTAGAAACTCGACTACCAATGATAGCTTCATTCTGTAGGATAGGCGTTCGATTGAATTGTGATGCCTGTGATACAGAAGAGGCTACTGGGACAACAAGTGAATTCGGTGATACAGATCCGACATTCGATTGAAGTACATAGGACAGACGAGAGGATCCAGTATCTACACACAGAGTGAGTGGAGCTTTAGCACTGCAGCTAGTGGTGGTTGGTTTTGAGTTAGTTGAATTCTGTGCCACTGAAGATGGTGTAATCCGGAAGTTTGGTCGATTTACTGTTTGTGCAGTTGACTGTAATACAGGAGATGACTGACAGTATTTTGTGACAGGAATTGAATTCAATTTTGGACTACAGGTGGCAGCAGCTGGCAAATTTGCACGAGGACTGTTGTTGGTGACAAGAGAAGTAGCAGTTATCTTAGGAGTGGTTTTAGAGGCGGTAACCGGTGTTGAAGCATTTGAAATGTTTGGTATAATGACAACAGGAGAATTTTGTGATAGCAGAGAAGAATCAGAGGTATACGAAGCGTTTGCAGAAGACACTGGATTAGAATTTTTTCCGTTATTTGAGTTTATCAAATTATTACTATTAGTGTTGTTGCTGTTGTTGTTTGAGGATTTTGTAGTCGACTGGGAGGTTGGAGTGTTATTGCATAAACCACTAGAACAAAAGAAAAAAACGTGAGTTTAACAAGAAGCAAAGGCACACACGCATACAATTCAGATGAAATTAACACAAACTCAAGACTAGATTTGCAAGGAAAACAGAGGTCAGCTAAACCTAATGAAGATTGTCATCTTCCAACTAAAAAGCGCTTTAAGCTACCTTCTATTCTAAATAAAACTAACGAAATACAAGTGAAAAGATGAAGGCAACCAAAAAGAAAATCAAGTGGAAAATAAAAATCTGCTCTGATGGGAATTTCTGTACACGGGACCGATGGCTGCTACCTTGACGTGGTGGTTAGGCTTCCACATCGCAATGACCCATCAAACTGCACTCGCTGGAACCAATGTTCCTGCAGGTCCTACCATGCCAGGAAAATTGTTAGGTTAGCGATTAGACTAAAAGCAGTTACTGGCATTGTGTAAGAATCTCTCTTACACTATCCTGGGAGTCTGAGGGCGAAGTCGTATTGCTGGGGAACAGGGGTGTAACAGCAGTGACGTGTTTCCCTCAGATGACCAGCATGCCAGCCAGCTATGCTGTCTCTCAACTCCGGAGAGAGGAGGTTAGAAAAGGCTGACCCCAAAATTGTACATTCCGACTTACCCTAGAGTGGTCCGTAACCGGCGGTAAGTTTACTAATACGGAAACAATCCCAGAAACCAGTTCATACAGGCCGTGTATGACTGACCTCAAGCACTTGTCCCCTGGGCTCTGTGGTCACGCAACACTTACCCTCTTTCTGTTTCAGGTACCCGAAGAATCAATCAACTTCTACGGTATGGGCAGCCGGGAAGTAACAACTGCCCACACACTCCCAAGAGCACACGAAGCCTTTTTGAGCATAAGTACACGGGACCTGAGATTGCAGAGGATGATGACGCTCTATTGTTGCACCAAGTTTAGGAGGAAAGAAGGGTCCCTAATGATTGAAAAAAATGCTGCTACCTTGTTAAGCTGCGAGAACTAGCGCTGGATCACGCTCTTGGCCATGTGAAGCTAAATATTATAAGTCGTGTCATCCTGGAGAGGCCTTTGACAGCGTTGATCTTAAAGTAGTTCTGCGCTACGCAGTGGAATGCCACAAATCTTTATCAACCTCATTCAACAACTGGCTATACGACAATACAAAATGTCAAGTGATCCACAACCAAAAATTCAGAGAAGCCTTTGAAGGGAAGACAGGAGTAAGACAAGGCTATTAAGCCTACTACCACAGATGATATTCCTAATTATGGTTGACTGGATTATGTGGAACACCGTGCGGTGGGGAGTGAGAAGACAGGACCGATAAGAAGACTAGAGAAAATTTGGATTTCACGGACGATTTATTTCTAATGTCACACAAAGTCGATACCTTACGGGAGGAAACTAACAAGTTGACAGAAAAAGGAGGCAGCAAAGACAGGGGGGGGGCTTTAAGTGAACATAAGTGAAGAGAATGAGGTGATGAAGATAACCAACCACCACTATCAATGGAACAAATTTGAAAGCTGTCACTTCTTTCACTTATCTAGTCAGCATCGATTCAAATACAAGCAGTCCTGACAGGGATGAGTACGTTAAAACCAGTCTGGATCGAAAAGGCAAAATAGATATTCATCACTCTGAATTCAATGTGGAAAATCTTCTGAACTCAGCATAAAGAACACAATTCCAATCTTCAACACCAATGTTAGGTCGGTTCTTCTATATGGAGCTTTTATCAACAGCTTCCTTCCTTTTCTTCATAATGACAATCAGACGGCCAAAAAGCATTAGCGACAAGAAACTCTGGAAACGAACCAATCGACAACCTACTGCTTAACAAATGTGGGGAAGAAAAATGCTGATGGATCAGACACATGCTGAGGAGGTCGTCGGATGACACCATGCACCACCAGGTCATTACTCGAGTGGAATCCGGATGGAAAAAGACAAGTTGGCCTTGTGTCCAAGAGTGATATGGAGGAGATCGTGTGAAGAGGAGATGAGAGCCAATGGATAATTGTGAGGGGGCAACTGAAGGGGACTGCAGAGGACAGGGGCAAATTGGAGATGTATTGCCCAAGCCCTAAGTTCCACTCGAGACCTAACACAACAATAATGACAATAATAAATAATGCAATGGAAGTCCTAATGCTCTTCCTCCCAAAAGATGTGGTCGAGATTAGCAAACAAATATGTACAGCTTTGTTGAAATTAAGCTTTCTTTTAAATGACTAGACAGCTGATATTATCGTTTACTGTTACCAGTAATTTCATTGAAGATATCCCTCAACAAACAGACTTGACAAATCAATGTCAATGGGAGAAACATATGGGAAGTCGTTTCTTTTACTTATCCAACCTGGACACAGTATCGCTTCAACAACAACTACGATGGATGACGATGTTCAGATCAGATCGAGAAAGCAAAACAAGTGTTAATTACTATGAAGTCAGCATGGAGATCTACAGCATTAAGTAAAAAGGGACGACAAAAGTGCTGCTGGAGGACATAATGCTGCTAGGAGTGCAGCTATACCTGACCTTTATGGTATTTGAATTCCAAAGGAAAACATACAAACAAACTAAGACAGTTGCCACGGCGTCGTCAAAATCCCAGATTGTGGCAGGTACATTCATGGATAGGTGAGATTCAAACGTTCAACCCTACCCACAAAGTATGATGAAGTTGTGTAGATGACACATTCACCGAAGTTAAAGCACAAGACATAAACAGACTCAGAAGGTAGTGCCAATTCAATTCATTTATGAACTGATAAGTCAGGAAGAGGAGCTTCCAGTATTAGATTGTACAGTAAAAAAGGAAAGAGGATAGCAAGTTAAATAAATACTAGTGTTTACAGGAAACCCACACATTCAAACTGATATTTGGTTTTTCGATCATCCCACACTGTCTTTAAAAATAGGATTAGTGAAATGTTTAAGTAAAAGGGCAAAAAAGCTAATTAGTGCAAAGGAAAATCGAAGACAGGAAGTGAGGCACGTAAGAGAAGCTTTGAAACTTAATAATTACCCTGATAAATTAGTCAGGAAGTATGTAAGAAAATGTAAAATTAATAATTACAATGGTAGTAACACTTAATAATAATAATAATAATAAAAATGACGATGTGTATGTCAAACATGCACAGAATAATGGCAACACCAACAATAGTGAATTCAAATCATCAGTAGTACTTCTATACAAAGAAGGAATAAAAGTAGCTGGCATTCAAACTCACACACTCAACTAGATATAAGCTTTGTCGGTTAAAGCATTCTGTGGAGCCCACTGAGTAAAACAACTTCGTTAATCTAATACCCTTCAAAGGGTTGTCAAGTTGAATGCACAGGTCTCAACAGTGGAGCTTGTGTAATCAGATCAGCAGAGCATAAAAACCTAGCACAATCTAGATTAGTTGACCCGAATAAGGTAAGAAATCTGGAGAATTGTTCAACTGTGGCATCACACTACATGCAATTACACACAACACAAACACACAATAGGATGTGATAAAATAACAGTTTTAAAATCTAATGTCACAGAGTGGAGGGAAAGATTGATTGTTTATTTTTTTTTAAATTTCAGCTTGATTCCACAACGTATTTTTTGGTACAGGTATGGAATTTTCAGCATGTGATATCGGTAGCCCAAATTTTGCAGGCCGACCATAGATATCAGGTGTGCATCGGCAGGGGATCGAACCTCAGACCATGTGCATGGTCGGCGAGACTCCTAACCACTATGCCATCGAATCAACTGCAAACACGTGTAATAAGAATGATTGAATGCTTGTCTCAGACATTTGGAAAATTCTACTACCTCGTACGACGTATAGGTAGGGATAAAGAAAGCCACAAAACGAAAGTTTTGAAGTTGCTGAGTTTCAGTTCATACAGTTATTATAAACAATAGAGAATTGTATACAATTGGTGGATGGTGGCTAGCAGTGGAATCCAGGATGCGCATTTCGTCCTATTTGGGACTCGTCAGCTGGATGTACCTGCATTTCTCAGTGAGTGATGATGTTCCCACTGAGAAATGCAGGTACATCCAGCTGACGAGTCCCAAATAGGACGAAATGCGCATCCTGGATTCCACTGCTAGCCACCATCCACCAATTGTATACTAACTAAATGCCCAGACATCGTCGAAGCATCTGCACAAGAAGCCGACATGTCAACCTGAGACCGAGCACTTCGGTCCAATCAATCGACGGGAAAATCAAAAAATTCAATTCAATAGAGAATTGTGTTCAAAACTTCGTCATCCAGCAAAACAACACTGTTTCCCTGACTGTGTCATATATCTTATTAAAAAAAACTTACATCAAAATACTTTAAAGTTTGTTATCATTAACTAACTTGAGTAGAAAACTATCCAATAGAAAAAGGAACTTACTGATCATTGCAAAACTTCTGGAAGATGGGTAGAGCAGACCGCCATAAAGCTCTAAAAACAAGTTTTTTAAAAAACAGGTATGCTAGTAATCATTACTACTGTTAATCAAAATATTTGTCTCTGAGATTAGTTGTAAAGCGACAAGAAGAAACTAACAACACAACTGGGTTCGAGCAAAGACTGTTCTTTTCGACAAAACTCCTCGCTCTGCCTTACAATTATATTTATATACAGAATATTTTTAAGTACGCTATCCTTTTCATCAAAACAAATCCTGTTTAACGTTAGGGAGTTGAAGATGAACCGCTTAATTTTGCCTCTTCTATCTTGTATATCTATCAATTCGACTGCTGTTGAGGAGCCAGTTACATAGAAACCACAATATTAGGCGTGTCTATCGTTGTTCGATTTCTGAACACCATTCTGAATAGGCAAACAAGGGACGACAAACAAAATCCATTCATAGTTCTATTCTATCTCATCTCCTTGGGATTCAAAACACAAGATTGATATTATGAAGGCCTACATTGAAGATTGTTTCCAGCCATCTAAGAAATAACAACTCCATTATGGGTAAATTTTTGTTTTGATAAAGTCTCACAGTGTTATACAGTAATGTTTACTGATGACGTTTCGAGCACAATTTATTACTGCTCATAATCATATCAAGGTAATCACACGACTTCCTAAATTCATTTATATAGTTCCATTGTTTTTCTCTTGATTTGATTGGTAATAGTATTTTCCATATTTCAGGTATGAGTGATGAGTCATTGCATCCTATTGTACGTGTTTGGTGTAGACTCAATGAACAAGGATTCAGTAATCAACCTCTCTCTCCACCTACCTAGACTACTTTTTAGAATTTTAACCCTCTCCCACCCTATTGTGTGGTTGTGTGTTAGCGCATGCATTGCAATTGCTGAGCTTTTTTCTAAATTATTTATCTTCTCGGGGTCAACCATTCTTACCTTAGCTAAATTTTTATGCTCTGACAATCTGACTACCCCTGACCTACTAGTTTGACCTATGTAGTTGACCTCACAGTCATTGCAGGGTATTTTGTAAATAATATTATTTTGTCTAATTGGGTCCACTGGGTCCTTTAACCTACAGAGCTTGTCCCTGAATGAGTTTGTAGGTTTAAATGTCCCTCTAATTCCTATTTTATTCAGAATTCTACATAGTGTCTCAGATGTCCCCTCTTTATATGGTATAACTGTGGATGACTTATATTCTTTCTTATTTATGTTATCATTAATAGTTTCACAATTATTTTTATTTTGTTTTTGGCCTTTAATGATCTTCCTAATGAATTTTATAGGATAATTATTCAACACTAACGCTTCTTCTATCTGTTTTAATTCATCATTTAGATCTTTTTTTGTGTTACTTAGTGCTATTGTTCGGTTTGTTAGAGACTTCACTAAGCCTGCCTTAACAGTCAACGGATGAGATGAATTAAAGTCTAAGTATCTATTAGAATGCGTTGGTTTTCTATAAACACTAGTGTGTAGTTCGCCTTCTTCTAATTCTTTTTATCTTACAATCTAACATAGCTAATTCTCCTTGTTCATTTTCTGATTCAAATGTGAATTTTATTCCCTCAACTTGTGAGCTTATATGTGTCAAGATGCTATAGATGTGTTCTGTTTTTAACACTGTGAAAGTGTCATCCACATATCTCCACCATATTTTCGGAGTAGGGTTAAATGTATTGATGTTATGTACTCGTCGCTAAATTATTGTTATGGTCTGGTCGAGAAACTAATAGTCCTGACGAGAGAAGGCGGAAATCAGAAGACCACTAGGTTTGCGATGATACTTCTATTGTCCAAACACAAGGAGACGAAAATAAATGGTCTCACACCAAAGTGGTAAGTAAGTAAAAGTAGTTCACACAAATTGTGAATGCGAAATATATATATATATATATGAATGTTCCAGACAAATCATTAGACAGTCTTAACATGAATGGCGAATTATAATGAAGTATCGATCCATATATACATAGCGAAATATAAATATAGCAGACATGTCAACAACCTCACATATAATATGGATATATGTCACCAAGCTACGGACTGTCAACAAACACTCATATTATATATAATATAAGGAGAATATACATTGTTAAAGGAGACAAGTTCATACAAGTGAAATGGTCACAGACTAAGAGAGCAAATAGAAAGAGAGGCCAACATACACACACACATAAATATATATGTGGATACATATCAATTGAGGGCACTATTTTCCTAGTAGGTCAGGGGTAGTCAGATTGTCAGAGCATAAAAATTTAGCTAAGGTAAGAATGGTTGACCCCGAGAAGATAAATAATTTAGAAAAAAGCTCAGCAATTGCAATGCATGCGCTAACACACAACCACACAATAGGGTGGGAGAGGGTTAAAATTCTAAAAAGTAGTCTAGGTAGGTGGAGAGAGAGGTTGATTACTGAATCCTTGTTCATTGAGTCTACACCAAACACGTACAATAGGATGCAATGACTCATCACTCATACCTGAAATATGGAAAATACTATTACCAATCAAATCAAGAGAAAAACAATGGAACTATATAAATGAATTTAGGAAGTCGTGTGATTACCTTGATATGATTATGAGCAGTAATAAATTGTGCTCGAAACGTCATCAGTAAACATTACTGTATAACACTGTGAGACTTTATCAAAACAAAAATTTACCCTTAATGGAATTACACTCTACCACAGTGCACAAGTTTTATTCTTATATGAAGAATAACAACAATAATTCTAAGTGCAGAGTGATGACGAGCCACCCTAACATGGAAGCAAACTGGACTGATAGAATTTAGTTTACACAAAACAAAAGATTAGGCACACGACACTAGTTAGTGTCCCATCAAAACACTTTGTATCAGTGGCACAGCGGTAGAATGCTCGCCAACCACGCCTCATGTGGTCCGGGGTTCGATCCCCGGTCACGACCGCACTCCTTTACCTTGCTAGGCCAACAGTAAGACTGGTAAAGAGGGAAGTTTGAACATGAGCCTAGCAACCCCCTCCTTGAAAAGCAAATACCACTGCTACCGAAACTTTAAGTCTCTAGCTTGAAGCTCTATGTTCCACTCGGAACGTAGAGGCATATATATATATATATATATATATATATATATATAACTTATATTTCCAACCCGTCTTTTAGTATCCCCTTCATCTTATCACATCTTCATTAAAAAGGTATTTTATTTACTTTCCTAACAATCTAGCATTACTTAATCGAACCTTTTGCTTTTCTTTCTTAGCCTTTATCGATGACTACGTGTCTACGTAAACATTTGCTTATTTACTCTCGCCGTTTTTCGTTATTCTTGTTATCACAGATCACTTCACTTTTTCATCTTTATCATTGATGAAATCATCAATATGCTGTTATTATCATTTAATTATGACTAATTGCACAATTTATATGCACAGACTTATCATCCTAAAATGACGAACCACTGTGTGTGATCGGCTTATCTTTCAGTACATTGACTTGACAAGTTAATGTGAAATTTGGGAATTTGATTTATGGGGGTATTACCAGTTCAGCTCACATACCTGGCTAGAAATCAGTTTGCTTTAAAAGTGATTCAACTCTTTGAACTGAGTCAAATGTGAGGTGGTGGTGGTGATGTATCATTGATGAGCTCACCTCATACCCCCTCCCCGCAGAACGAGTAAAACGACCGTAAACTGGTTTAGATCACACTTTAATCTGGCTAGCAAGCAGCACTACTGGCTGTATAATAAGTAGTATACAACTACTACTCAACTCTGTCAACCAATCTGTAATATGCGTGTGATCACTTTGGTTTGCACAAATATATCATACATTTTTTTTTATAATAAGATTAACTCCGTCTTCCAATAACGCCATCCAGAGAGACTCATTGTTCTAAACTATACTGACTGATTGACTGGTTTCAACGTAGAACTTTGCACCGATGTGCAGCAGTTCCAGTCGCCATACTTTGCTCAGTACACAAAGCAAGAGAAGAATAAGAAAGTAAAAAGTAATGCAAAACAGTGACATGAACTAGAGATATGAGGCAAAAAGAATAGTAATATTGAAGAACAACATAGTTTTATTGGATATTATAAGTCACAAGGAGTGGATGCATCTGCGCCAGCCATTGACAACGATTTCGAGATATATCACCAATTGTCTCTAGCCAACATTGGTTTCTACCGTCCCAAGAATCCCCACCAACTAGGCAGTTTTCACCTTTCTACGTGACTTAAAGTAACTGTAATGGATTGACTGATGAAACGATGTTTTGGTTTGACCACCACTAGCTCTTTTCCAGCCTCACCCTATATCAGCTAACATCGCCCATTGTGGAAGAAGGCGATGACCGGGCATACGTAACACATATCGTAACCATCTCAGTATATGTTACTTCCCAACCTCGTCGATTGATTTCCCGTCATTGCCTAGCGCTCGATCAAAGCCTAACCTCAATATTGCTCATTACATTATACCACTTAACACCGGAGGCAGCACTTAAACACATATCATCAAAGACAGCTAGCCAGGCTTTTCATGTCTTCCACTCTCAATGGCCAGGTCTCACTGACAATCATAAAGGAGGACAGAGCCAACTGGTGGTGAGCAGTACACACGCCCTTTGGTTGATAGCCAGCCGGATATCGCACGTCTACACCACAGATGGCGAATGTTGGCATATGTCAAACGAGCCTTCTGTATCCGTGCTGAGAATTCGTCAGAGATCAACACATTGGCGTTGGCTAATGGAACTCCCAATATAAGTGAAGTGGTCAACACTCTCCACCAACCACTTCACTCGCTATTTCTAAGCTAGGAGTCAATGTAGTCCAGTCCAGTACATCTGACGGGAGCGAATCGCATACCGAACATTAGAAGATTGCTCCTCAGAAGACTGCTTTATTTTGTCAGTATCTTCACCGAGAAGGACTATATCATCTGCATAGTCTAAGTCAACGAGATTATTCCCTGGTAACATATTAATCCTCAAGTTCCTGAATTCACTTAGGATTAAGTCCATTAGCACATTTATGTTGAAACTGAATAGAAATGGGGATAATGGGCATCCCTGACGGACACCACTTCAGATGACAACTCGCCGTAAGCCATCACCTGACTGCATGAGTAAAGTGAATGCCTTGATGTGTGCAATGTATTTTCTCGGCAATCCTTTCACAGCCAAGCCTCACCTTAGTACCTTTCGGTCGACAGAATCGAATGCCGTCCCTTATGCCAAGAAATATAGCGATCGTTGGACGCCGGTAAGTATGCCTATGTTCCAGAATCTGTCGAAGGGTGAAGATAGGATGAATACACCCTCTTCCTTCCTGGTTCTCTAGTGTTTGTTCCTCCCGAGCACCACTTAGTCTACGTATTATTACTGAGCCTAGAACTTCAGATTTCTAAACTATAAAAATAGAAAGAAAATTTCCTGAAAAGACTAATCTTTGTTCACCCGAACTGGTTAATTCATATTATGGGAATATTTCAGGCTATTGCATTAAAAGTATCTAAACTAAATTATAAACCATACACCTGCAGAATATACACACAAGGTGAACTGAAAACATTTTTACTTTTGAATTAAGGCATGAACAATTTCTGCGGAATAAGATGGATAGCACCATCTTTTATTTCTTTCTTTGGCTTCTCATCTAGCTACGTACAAAATAATTTTAACATACTTGTAAATATTTGCATATAATGATAAAGGAGTTAAGTAATAAAGACAAGAGGTGAGCAAGATGATGACTTACTAATAAATTAGGTAACAATGTACTGGGGTTCAAATCAAATCATAGAAACAAGAGACAAGCAAAATTACCCTATGTCACAGGGGGGTTAACGTTAAAACCAAAGATTACGTAATCGAATGAGAGAGGGAGAGAGAGAGTAAATAGAGAAATTCAGTTACCAAGGCAAGGAAAGACTGACAACTGAATCTTTCTGAACATATAAATTGAGTTTCAGGTGTTTGATAGCGATTACTTCGGGAAACTTGAGCAGTATTGAGCTATTTTGTCTACTGATCATTTTCAAGGATTTCATGATGTCCACCTGATGACCGTATCTAGGAAGTGACTGGCAATAGCACCCCCATCATCAAACCAACGCTGGACACAAATAGACCACATAGCAATAAGCTATCGTTGGCGTGGGTCGGTAGGAGATTGTCGCTCCTTCTGGAACACGTGCGTAGATACCGACCATGCACTGGTCCGCGCTCGGGTGTGCTTACGACTGAACGGACGTAGGAAACAGCTGGCGGTAAAACCATCACGTCCCCAGCTCGATCAGGAAACTAAATCCGTATTTGAGGAAGAACTAGCTAAACACATATCTGTGTTCGACAGCTGTGCTCACCCTGAAGAAGCTTGGAAAAATATCCAGGCAGCCATAGATACAGCTGTAAAAGCTGTGAATAAGGTAAACCCAAAGGTGAGTAAAAACCACTGGATCTCCACCGCCTCATCCGAACTGATAGATGCTAGAAGACTTATTCCGGCGAGCTCCGAATTCAATGAGGAGCGAAAGCTGCACAAGAGGAAACTTACGAAAAGTCTCCGCAAGGACCGTGAACAGTGGTGGGCGACAAAAGCCAAAGAGATGGAGAAAGCTTCGAGGATAGGCAACACCAGGCAACTCTTTGGACTCATCAGGGAAACGGGTGGGAGAAGACAAATCATCAGTGAGACAATCTCGGAAAAAAATGGCACTATAATTAGCTCCCAGGATAGACGACTGGATCGTTGGAAAGAGCATTATGAGGAGCAGTTTAATTTGCCCACAGCCACGCTCAACCTTCCGAGCATCCAACACCTCCCTGAATGGGATATAAACACAGGTCCTCCGTCACTAACTGAGGTTACTAAAGCTGTCACCAATCTGAAACTAGGCAAAGCAGCGGGACCTGATGGAATGACTCCAGAGGTATTTAAGTACGGTGGAGACAGCTTACTGTCCGGATTAACTGAGGTACTAGGCAGCGTCTGGGAATCAGAAGAAGTCCCATCGGGTTGGTGTAAGTCACTGATTATCCCCATATACAAGAAGGGAGACAAGTCTTCCTGTGATAATCACAGAGGGATTAGCTTGACTAATATAGTATCTAAAGTCTTAGGCTCAATAATCATGCGTAGACTGAGTGGTGCTCGGGAAGCACAAACACGAGAGAGCCAGGCAGGCTTTAGACCAGGAAGAGGGTGTATTGATCATATCTTCACCCTCCGACAGATTCTAGAACATAGGCATTCCTACCGGCGTCCAACAGTCATTATATTTCTTGACCTAAAGGCAGCATTCGACTCTGTCGATCGGGAAGTTCTCTGGAGATGCTTGGCTGTAAAGGGAATTCCAAGAAAATATATTGCACTGATTAAGGCACTCTACTCGTACTCATACAGCCAGGTGAGGGCTTACGGCGAGCTGTCATCTGAACTGATGACGACCAGTGGTGTCCGTCAAGGATGCCCATTATCTCCTTTTCTATTCAACTTCATCATAGATGTGTTAATGGACTTAACCCTAGGTGACTTCAGCGACTCAGGGATTGACTTGCTACCGGGGAATAATCTCGTTGACTTGGAATATGCAGACGATATAGTCCTTCTAGGCGAAGACGCTGACGAAATGCAGAGTCTTCTAAACACCTTGAGCCGCAATCTACGAATGTTTGGCATGCGATTCGCTCCCGCCAAATGCAAGATGATGTTACAGGACTGGACTACATCGACGCCTAGTTTAAAAATAGGAAGTGAAGTGGTAGAGCACGTTGACCGCTTCACTTATTTGGGAAGTACCATCAGCCCCAACGGGTTGATCTCTGACGAAATCTCAGCACGAATACAAGGGGCTCGTTTCGCATTTGTTAGTTTACGCCGACTCTGGCGTAGACGAGATGTTCGACTATCGACCAAAGGGCGGGTGTACTGCTCATCAGTCCGCTCCGTCCTCCTTTATGGTTGTGAGACCTGGCCACTGAGAGTGGAAGACATGAAAAGACTAGCTGTCTTTGATCATAGGTGCCTGCGTTCTATTTCCCGTGTAAAGTGGCATAATAAGGTGAGCAACATGGAGGTTAGGCGTAGAGTTCTAGGTAAACAGGGGAAATCAATCGACGAAGTCGTGAAGCTACAAAGACTGAGATGGTTAGGACATGTGTTACGTATGCCAAGCCATCGCCTCCCTCGACGAGCTATGTTAGCGGATATAGGGTCAGGCTGGAAAAAAGCTAGCGGCGGTCAAACAAAAACTTGGCATCAGTCAATGAAATCCACAACAGTTGGTCTAAGCCACGTAGAAAGGTGTAGACTTCCAGGCTGGGGTCCTCGGGACGGTAAAAATCTATGGTTGGAAACAATTGGTGACATGGCTCAAAATCGTTCTCAGTGGCGCAGATGCATCCACTCCTTGTGACTTATGATTTCCAATGAAACTGTTTTGTTTTTCTTTATTACTCCTTTGTCTCACACCTCTGCTCACTGTTTCTATTATGCTTTTCTTGTACTTTCTTCTCTTGCTTCGCGTGCTACACGGAATGTGGCGACTTGAACTTCCGCACATTTGTGCAAAGTTCTATGTCGAAAACAGACAGAGACAGACAATAGCACCACTGGAAGCGTTTGTACCCTTGAACTGTAGGCATTTTGGTGCATGTTCACCAAATCAGAGGTGTGCCTTTCTTTCTGTTCTCCCAATGTACCTGCTCCCACAGACAAATTTAAGTTGCTATACACAGTAAAAGGTAACTTGAGAAGGATATCTGTCGACTTTTGATTGCACCAAAAGGCAAGTTGTTCGGTGGACGGGAACCAGGATAAGTTCTAGCTAGGGAGGTATTCAATCTTTCTGTTAACGATGCCTGTAATATTATCACCCATAACATTGAGTTGAATGAAGATAGGCCTTCCCACCCCCCGCCCCTCACTGTGATATATTTGGCTCTTGAGTCTTCACATTTTCCACACTTGTTAATAAATTTCTTAGGGGAATCGTTGTTTTTCGATATCTTTTCGAGAATCGGAAATTCTTCCTCTAATTTTTCTCTATAGAGCATATTCTCCTGACTCTATAAAACAGAATTTTAACCAGTGGTGGTTTATATCTATTTGGACGAAAACAACTAAAATAATGTAAGTATTGTCCAATCTCGATGCAGGCTTTCGATAAATTGACCTCTGGAGACTACCATCTTCCAGGAGTTGCATGGCGATGTCAAGGAAATCAAACTTTCCATCATTTCCATGTCCAGCGTGCGTCGAAGCATAATCCGAGTAGGTAGGATGTTAAAATTCTTCTGTGCATAAACATAATAATAATAATTTCTTTAGGCTGCACCCTATCTGATGAGAAACCAAACGAAATAAACAATGATGGTACCATCTTATATTCTGCACAAACCTCTTTTGTTTTTGCTTTATTCAAATTTTATATTGAGGGGAATATATTAATGTGTATGAGGTGTTTTCTTGTACTTTTGAAGAATTAACTAGACATTGAAAGTGTCAAGGGATACAACAATTAGAATATAAATGGAGAAAAAAGAGAAGCAAACAGCATTTACTACTTACGCATTTGTAATCCAACCATCAGGCCATAATTGTATTAAAGTTGGAAACAGGCGTCGAAGATAGTCTTCAGCGGAACCTTTAATATTTAACAGTTTGTAACTTTCAAGTCGACAAAGAATAATTTGCTCAAATAACTGCCTATAATATAATGATAGAGAAGAGAAAAACAAATGGAGCAGCACAATTAGACGCAGACTAACAAAACTAATAATAATAATCATAATAATAATAATAATAAGGTGTTGGTTTCGCAGGCATTTGATTGGTTATAGGATTTCATTATGAACTGACAGCGGCTGGAGACAGAACCATTGGAAAACAACTAGACAGCTGTTTCGTCCTGAATCCAATCAAATTCCTATATGTGTAAAACTTGGACACTGTGGTAGTAAGTAATTCCATATTAGTTTGTTTATTAGATGTATCACACAGTCAGTCAGTCAGTGAAACAGTATTATTTACTGGATGACGAAGTTTCTAACAAGATTTATTGCTGTTCAAAATCATATCAATTGTAATCACACGACTTTGAAACTTGAGTTTTATGGTTTTCTTTGTTTTCTCCTATTTATCGTCGTAGGGGTAGTAGAATTTTCCGTATATCACAGACAGGTGATGAATCATTCCTATTACACGTGTTTGCAGTTGATTCGATAAACAAAGCTTCTGTTATCAATCTCTCCGTATACCCTGTGACATTAGATTTTAAAACTGTCATCCTATCCCATCCCATCCTTTTGTATGGTTGTGTGTAACTGCATGTGGTGAGTGGTATAGCTGAACTACTCTCTAGATTTCTTATCTTAAGTGGGTCAACCAATCTAGATTTTGCTAGGTTTTTACGGTCGGCTAATCCGACTGACCCTGTTCTACTAGTTCGACCTATGCATTTGACTTGACAATCATTGCAGACAGGGTAGTAGATGCTTTAACCGACAATTGAGTTTATGGGTTTGAATGGCACTTTTATTTCTGCCTTGTTAAGAATTCTGCGTAAGGTTTCCGTGGTTCCTTCTTTGTATTGAATTACTGTTAATGATTTAGATTCCTTATTGTTGGTGTCGTCATTAATATTATTATTTTTATTATTATCACTATCGCTACTGTCATTATTTATTTTATTTTTAGATTTCCTTACATATTACCTGACTAATTTATCCGGATAATTATTAAATTTCAAGGCTTCTTTTATGTGTATCATTTCTTGTCTTAGATTTTCCTTAGTACTACTTAGTTTTTGTGCTCTCACTTAAACATTTTAGCAATCCTATTTTTACTGACATAGGATGGGATGATCTGAAGTCCAAGTATCTGTTTGAATGTGTGAGTTTTGTGTAAACACTAGTGTTTAACATCCCATCTTCTTTCCTTTTTATGCTACAATCTAACACTGAAATTTCCCCTTCCTGACTTTCTAATTCATAAGTGAATTGAATTGCCTCCACCTTCGAGTTTGTGTGTTCGAAAAATCTATCTATATCCTGTGTTCTGAGTACAGTGAATGTGTCATCTATATACTTGCACCATACTTTTGGGCTGGGGTGAACGTTTCGATCGCTATGCTTCCCCATCTATCCATGAATATATCTGCTACAACCGGGGATATTGGTGATCCCATGGCAACTCCCTCAGTTTGTTTGTATATTTTTCCTTAGAATTTAAATACTGTGGAAGTCAGGTATAGCTGCACTCCCAGCATTATGTCCTGAAGTGGCACTTTTGTCCTAAGTTCGAGTTCTTGGTCAGAAATGAGTTAGCTTCTGACCACCTCTAATACATACGTCGAACTAGTAGAACAGGGTCAGTCGAACTAGCCGACCGTAAAAACCTAGCAAAATCTAGATTGGTTGACCCACTTAAGATAAGAAATCTAGAGAGTAGTTCAGCTATACCACTCACCACATGCAGTTACACACAACCATACAAAAGGATGGGATGGGATAGGATGACAGTTTTAAAATCTAATGTCACAGGGTATACGGAGAGATTGATAACAGAAGCTTTGTTTATCGAATCAACTGCAAACACGTGTAATAGGAATGATTCATCACCTGTCTGTGATATACGGAAAATTCTACTACCCCTACGACGATAAATAGGAGAAAACAAAGAAAACCATAAAACTCAAGTTTCAAAGTCGTGTGATTACAATTGATATGATTTTGAACAGCAATAAATCTTGTTAGAAACTTCGTCATCCAGTAAATAATGCTGTTTCACTGACTGACTGACTGTGTGATACATCTAATAAACAAACTAATATGGAATCAAATTCTTGCAAATCAACAATTGAATATCAACCTAATGCTCACTAGCGACTAAACCTATTCAGGTAGGTAGTTGCCAGGCGTTCTAGTGGGACTTCGTGACCATTAGGGTACAGCAGGTCGGTCGTGGGGACCAATACTCACCGAAGACATTGGCTAGTAGCCGTACTATGTCGTGAATTGGCAGAAGTTGGAATTAACGCGCCGGTCCTTGGATCACGTCCCAGTGACTTAATGGTCTACGAGCTTGTCTGCCAACCCAAAGGTCCTGGGTTCGAACCCCTATTGGATGCGTACTAGTGAGGAGCTCAAAGCTGGGATGAAACAGCTCTCCAGAACTCCCGGGATTTTCAATGGTTCTCTAACCGAAATCAATTCATGATGCAATACTGAATAATAATCCTTTGAAAGCGTTGGCTTTCACGGATTCGATTGGATTCAGGATTTCATTATGAGCCAACATCAATTAGAGAATCACTGGAAAACCTTGGAGTACTGAACAGCTATTTCGACCTAGTTTAAAACTCTTCAGCAAAACGCAGCCATTTTGGTTACAATGAGAGCTCGCAGACCACTAATCTTTTGCAATAAGTCCTATCAACAATCAGTTACACTATGTGATAGCAGGAGAATGTGAAAGATTTTCTTCAGAGAAAGAGACCTTAATACTAAGTTAACAAGCAGAGACGAATAAACCAATAAAAATCGTTCATCTACTCACAGATTACTGATGATCAGTCAACAGAGCATGTGGTCATCTCTATTAATCACCAGCAGTTAACAAGTTGCCGGCATAAATATACACATAAGTGAATAACTGTCTGAAGGATTGATTTTGTTTACAAGAATTAGTGTTTTTGAAGGTGTGGCATACGTGCGCTCAGTTATACTGTCACATAAATAACGCAGACACTGACTAATCTGTAAACCGTCAGTGGCATCGATCTAGCATGGAAGTCAACATACAGCAGTTAACGGACTTAGTCTTTCGGTCCAACTCTCTGACTCTCTAGGGTTGTGGGTGCGTACTGACGAATAGATTTTCAACAGCTATGTTAAGTCAGTCAGTTTTTCTATATGGTTCAGAAACTTGACCGCTGGCATCATCGAAAACATTTCAAACAGACCACTGCAGACTTTTATCAATAGTTACTTTCGCTGGTTCAATACTAAAAGATCAGATAGCTGGTCAGAAAAAAAAATCAGCAACAAGGAATTCCGGGAAACAACCAACTAGGAAACTATTGCTAAACAAATATTCCCGAAGAAATGGAAATAGATCGGACACACCCTGAGGAGACTGCTGGGAGACATCGCACGGCAGGCCATCGTTCGAGTGGAACCTAAGTGGGAATCAGCGAGTTGGACGAGTGTCCGAGGATGACATGAAGGGGATCGTGTGAAGAGGAAATCAGAGACTATGGGCAGTCATTGGGCCAAGGGAGGCAGACTGAAGAGAACAAGGTTAAATGGATATGTATCTATTAAGAGCAAGAGTGGCAACAGTAAAGAAGGGACACCAACCTCAAACCACGTTGAAATAACCAACCAGATTTTTTTTTAGGTGAAAAGTGGTATTTCTTTTATAACAAAAGTGTATTCATCATACGAATATATACTAAAAATCAATTATACAGAGTATATAACTCTAATATGCTATAAAAATCGGCCTCAGTTCCTCATTGGAGTGATTATAGAGGTATCAAACCAATGTCCATACAAAAATTCATCCAAGTGGCTATAGACCATATCATTTCGGGAACCATTCTTACCATTCTAATACATTTATTTAAGGTGGGCCCAGAATTCTTCAATAGAGTTTGTGTATGGGCTCCACTTGTAAGAGCCAGTAATTCAGAAGAATGGTGATGAGAACTGCGAATAACCTCTCCACTCGTCTGTGTGAATGGTGTTGCCTGGAAGGATTAGTCGCTGTATAATGGGTATTAAAAGCTCAGCACTTCTGTGTTGGGATACGTTTTACAAACCGTTTTCGAAGATTTGTGTCATACAGTCATCCCAGCATCCAAACATGATTTGCTCTTCTTCTACAGCGATTCATGTTTCGTTCAATAAGTACTGTTTCGTCAATATGAACAACGACACTAACTCATCATAATGTACGACTTACTAACTCGTACAGACTTCTTCACATAACGGCGGTTGCATCTGAATGTATAACCATCAATAGCCGGTAATACTTTTGCAGTGATCATGCCCCCACCACATATGCATGACTTAGTTGTCCCTCTTATTAACCCATTTTCCACACAGAAGGCAAAAGACGAATATGAGTGAAACTTGCAACGAAGATTATAAACAGCATCCATTTTGAAATAGGGAGCGATCTGATTGGCTGATTCAAGGTCATTTGACTTTAGTGTGCACTGTTTACTCTTACCAGAGGAGGAACAGGATGGCGTTATGTAATATTTAAACCAATTAGAATAATTTTGTTTACACTATGATTACGGTATACAGTCAACTGAACTTTTACTCATAAGAACTGTGAAGAGCGCAAATGTGCATAGTAGAAAAAATAGTTCACAGGGGAAAACATGAAGGGTCAACGGAGATGGGAGATCACAGAGAGTGAATATATACATCTCTTCGCCATCACCGAGAACGATTCCGAGTCAGCCATATCATAAATGAACTCTAACTATTGGTTCTCAGCATCCCAACAACTTTAACCACGCACTCTACTCCTGTTTGAATGTCAAAAACTCCATGGATTGATGCCAGGTTTTAGTCTGATCAACCCTAACTCTTTACATTTAACGTAGATCATATGAAGGAAGCTGATGGCTTGGTTTGCCTTGATTAGTGAGAGAAAGAGAGAGAGAGGGAGGGAGAGACACACTTTCTCGGTACTCCTTTTCACGGCCAAACATTACCACAGTACCTCACGGTTGACGGAGTCAAATGCCGCATTTCAGGTCAAGAAATGTGGCGAGTGCTAGATGTCAAAATGATGGAATCAGCGCCAAATTAACTTTGAAGGGTTAGACAGAATAATATGATGAACTTATCTAGGTAGTAAGAACCTATTAAATTGAATTCAAATTTTCCTCTGATAAAGAAATACGAAAACTCCAGAGAAAATAAGAGAACTACAGTAGTCGTGATCAACTTATTCTCCTATTGAAACCGTACATTTATACACAAAATATATACAAGGATATATTTCTAATAAGAAACACAGAACAAATCTAGTTAATTTATGTGTAAACCTTGGGCACTGTGGTAGTGTATGTAATTCTCGATTAATTTATTTTATTGGATATACCACACACACACACACACACACAGTGAAACAGGATTATTCAATTAATGACTAAGTTTCGAACGCAATTCTGTTTTGTTCATAATCACAGTATTAATTGTAACTACACAACTTCGAAACTTTCATTTTATAAAGCAAGAACAACAGTGGTTTGTGCAGAATAATATGGTACTATTATTTATTTCGTTGGCTTCTCATCAACTGCTTACAGCCTGAATGATGAGATTTACGTACAGAAAAGTTTTAACATAAATACAAATTTTACATGTTGTTAGTTGACAGAAAGTTTCACATTTAGTGAACAGTGCTCAGTACTATGGGAGTTTGTTCCATAGAGACGTAGCGCTATTACCGGACATCTCCTCGACACGGGTCATGAGTTGGAAATCGAGAAATCCTTTAAAATTATCAATAGACAAAGGAGCCCCATTCTCCTCAAGTTTGCCAAAGCAATTTCTACCAAACAGCTGAAACCCGAGTTATGTGTTCAGAAAGGAGCAGTTATTAGTCTTTCCTTGCCCAGCCTGGTAACTGGATGTCTTTTTTCTCTCATCTGATTACGTGATCTTTGTCCTTAACCCCACCCTCCTTTTATAATCTGTAATTTTGCTTGTCTCTCGTTTCTATGATTTCAGTTCAACTCAGTACATTGTTACCTAACTTATTAGTCACTCTGTATCTAACGCACATCTCATCTTTATTACGTAACTCCTTTACCATTGTATGCATATACTTATTTTGTTTAAACTTGAACTGCCTGTGTGAAAACTATATAAGCGCAATCTTCTGAGCACTGTTTACTAATTACAGAACCATCTGTCAATTGACATCATGAAAAATTTGAAAGTATGTTAAAACTTACCTGTACGTAAACCTCATAATTCATTTGGGCTGTAAGCAGATGATGAGAAGCCAACGAAATAAATGGTGGTACCATATTATTCTGCATAAACCGCTGTTGTTCTTGCTTTATTCAAATTCATTAAGGGGAATAAATGTACGGAGTTTCATTTTATAGTTTTCTTTATTCCTTCCTATTTGTCATAAGGGGTAGTGGCAGAATTTTACAGACACCCACCCAGACAGGTATTGAATCATTTTTATAACACGTATTTTTAGTTGGCTCTATAAATAAAGTTTCCGTTATCAATCCCCGTTTTCCTATCGTGTTATGTTAGATTTTAAAAATTGTCACCTTATCCCATCCTATTGTATGGCTGTGTTGTGTGTAATTGCATGTAGTGCTGCTATAGCTGAACTAGTCTTCAAGATTTCTTATCTTAGTGTCGGGTCAATTAATCAAGCATTTTGCTAGGTCTCTGTTAGTCTAACTGACCTCGTTCTACTCCTTTGACCTGACAATCATTGCGGGCAGGGTATTAGATAAACTAAACTGATTGACTCCACAAGATCCTTTAATCGACCAAGCTTGTTTTTAATTGAGTTTGTGGGTGACTGAATGGCACTTTTATTCCTACCTGCATTGTTAAGAATTCTACGTAAGGTTTCCGAGGTTCCATGTTAGCGGCATTCAAACCCACAAACTCAATTTAGAAACAAGCTCTTTCGGATAAGGGATCCTGTGGAGCCGATTAAACAAAACAACTTAGTTTATCTAATACTCTGCATGCAATGTTTGTCAGGTCAAATACATAGGTCAAAGTGGTAGAACAGGAGTGGTTAGACTAGCGGTTTAATATGGAATTACTTACTACCACAGTTCCCAAGTTTTACACATACTTCAAAATTATACTAAGGTCATTTCTTTTTACGCTTAGCATTGGATTCTGAGCTTTGAAAAAATTTTGTTAATAGTCATTCAGTTAGATGCAATCTAACACAGTGTATTCTTCCATGTGTAGGTGTGTGTGTATCAGAGGTTTTGTTTTCAACTGAATGTTGTTCATTAATTATGGCTTCGCTGATGCTTGTCTACTGATTTATCATTGTCTATCACAGTTTGTATCGCGAAAGTTATTGCTTTTGAGTTGAATATCTACAACAACCGTTGGCGGGGGGGTTGGGGCGAAATATTCTCAGTCTTTATTTGCAACCTGAATCACAATACTGGCGTATTTCTGTTCTGTGAACTCTATCGTCTATCTTTCTAGATAAAACCTTCATCACAGACATCAGTATGAAGCGAAGTTTTAAGAATTCTTTATGAGTTAACTAGCCGTTGCCCTTGATGACCTTGAACATTATTGGTTGTTTGGAGAGATTTTCTCACCCTCTTACACATTTCTCTCGGTGTATTGACCTGTGTTTTCTGCTGTTGACCTTTCGACCATCCATGTGACTTCGTTTCGATTGTTTGATAAACCTGATATCTATGTCCATTATGTCTGCTAGTTGTCGATTCGTCTGAGTAACAGGTTTCTAAGAATTCTGAGGCAGTTTTGGTGTCCATGAATTGGCCATTTCTCCAGTCGAATCAGTGTCTGCTTTTGTGGACGCATGCTCTTGATACGAGGAAGTAGATAACACGTCTTTTAACAACTAGTATGTTTTGTAGATGTGTAAACGAAAAGGACGTCCATTTTACTGCAGTTTACCTTATAGATGATGTTGGTTTTAAGTTTCGTCATAAAGGAACATCAGTCAAAGAATCATTGGAAAACCAGAGAGTAGTGGACAACTAATTTGCCTTGATCTGGGACTCAGCATTAGTACTTGCCCACCGCGGTTTGAACCCACGGTCTTCCGCTTACAAGGAGAACTTGTAGACTATTTAGCCACTGGGACCTAATCCAATAACCAGTGTATGAATTTCAACTTCTGTCGATTCGTGATATATACAGTGCAGTAGCCAGAGAACGGATCAATTAGACTAGCAGAACAAAAGAACCTTACAAAATCTAGGTTATTTGACCCGACACTAAGATAAGACGTATGAGGAATTAATCAGCTTAAGCACTACACGCAATTACACATTACTATAGAATTAAATGGAATAAGATGACGGTTTCAAAATCTAAAATAACTGGATGGTGAGGGAGAGATCGATAACGTAATCTTTATTTCTAGAATCAACTGAAAATACGTATGATAGAAATGACTAACTGGTTTCAATGTAGAACTTTGCACACACGTGTAGCATTTTCAGTTGTCACTCTCCCTCCAAGTAGCTGTCTGTCTGTTTTCGATATAGAACTTTTCACATATGTGCAGCAGTTCAAGTCGCCACACTCCCTCCATGTAGCACACAAAGCAAGATAAAAAATGACAAGAAATGCATAATAGAGACAGCAAACAGAGGTGTGAGACAAAGGAGTAATAACGAAGGACAAAACAGTTTCATTGGAGATCATAAGTCAAAAAGGGGTGGATGCATCGGCGCCAGCCACTGACAACGATTTGGAGCCATGTCACCAATTGTTTCCAACCATTGATTTTTACCGTCCCGAGGACCCCAACCAGTCAGGAAGTCTACACCTTCCTACGTGGCTTAGACTAACTGTTGTAGGTTTCATTGACTGGTTCCATGTTTTTGTTTGACCTCCGCTAGCTCTTTTCCAGCCTGACCCTATATCCGCTAACATTCCTCATTGTGGAGGAAGGCGATGACTAGGCTACCATGCGTAACACATGTCCTAACCATCTCAGTATTTGTAACTTCACCACCTCGTCGATTGATTTCCCCTCCTTACCCAGAACTCGACGCCTAACCTCAATATTGGTCACCTTTTTATGCCACTTTACACGGGAAATAGAGCGCAGGCACCTATGATCAAAGACAGCTACCTAGCCCTTTCATGTCTTCCACTCTTAATGGCCAGGTCTCACAGCTGGCCATAAAGGAGGACGGAGCTGACTGATGAGCAGTACACACGCCCTTTGGTCGATAGTCGAATATCTCGTCTACGCCAGAGTCGGCGTAAACTGGCAAATGCGAAACGAGCCCCCTGTATTCGTGCTGAGATTTCGTCAGAGATCAACCTGTTGTCACTGGCTGATGGTACTTCCCAAATAAGTGAAGCGGTCAACGTGCTCTACCACTTCACTTCCTATTTTTAAACTAGGCGTCGATGTAGTCCAGTCAGTCCTGTAACATCATCTTGCATTTGGCGGGAGCGAATCGCATGCCAAACATTCGTAGACTGCAGCTCAAGGTGTTTAGAAGACTCTGCATTTTGTCAGCGTCTTCGCCTAGAAGGACTATATCATCTGCATATTGAAAGTCAACGAGATTATTCCCTGGTAGCTCTACCAGTTGTTTGTATTTTATCTATTCAATTTGTATACTCTTTTCCTTTAATACGTTAATTGTTACTATTACTACTCTCACTTTGAACTGTGACCGGTATTATTTCACTTGTTATCCATTAATTCACATCCCTGAACTCTGAACCTATATATTTTATTAACTACATTATTTTTACATGCCTATGACTAATATTTCATCATTATATTAATGTAAAGCCTGATGAAAAATTACCGGAAAATACGTATTTGTTTCAATCGTGTCCCATAACACTATAAGAACTCTCTTAGTTAACTTAAAGATACAGATACTCCACTAAATAAAAGTTTATACCTGCACTCTGAGTTCCAACGATATATTTTCTTTGGAGGTCCTGGTTTTGGTATTCGTTTGGATGAATTACCATCGCCTGAACCATTGGCAACACCTTGACTGTCAGAGAATTCTGTACCATTATTCTGTAAATTTCTGGAAATGAACATAACCGGAAATAATATTAGCACGGTACATGATATTATTATTAGTATTCTTATAGGATAATAAATACAATAAGAGTATTATTTGCCAACCACTTGGATTCATCCAGTTTTTCCTAAGTATGTATCAGTCTATGTCTAAACAAACAGAGTACATAGGTCGTTCTATGCGGGTCCTATCGAAACGTGTTAAAGAACGTTAACCAGCATATTTGCAAGGAGGAGGCACTGATCCAATCAGGAAAGCCGTAATTAAACACCTCCTCAACACCTGTCACAGCATCTTAACTCATTCAACATTCAGAGTTATTTACAAAGTACACAATAATCTACCACTGAAGGCAGTGTGTGTTTTTGACTTCTTTGTACTCCAGTAGCCCTTGTCATGTGCATCGAAGAAAAACGGAAGGTGTGTGTTCACAAGAAACCGGTTCAACCTCTACATTCACCATAGATTTAGTTCGGTTTGTCTCCTCAGGTCACATTGTTTCACCTACCCCCCCCCCCGCATTTTCCTTTTGAGTTTTTAAAACACTATTCTTTCAACTTGTTCCCATGTTCATCATCCCACTCACACGTTTTGTCACTGAAAAAGAAAAACTATTTTCTAATCCTATATAATTTTGTTTCCAGGCCCCTTGTAACCTATATTCACACCCTTGAACTTTCATATCAAGTTGAGATTAAAATTAATTCTCCAGTCATAAAAATATTAATTATACATTCATAATCCTATGTAATCTCTTCGCTAAGCCCCTTTGGTGTAATCTATACTCACATCTCCAAACGTTTATGTCAGGTTGGAAATTATTATGGTTCTTAATCGCCTTCGTTAATACATGGAATTAATTCATAATTGTATCTATGTAAACTTATGCATATAAATGTAATTGTATAGTTTTTAAGAATGAAATCGCCGAAGACATAAACATCTTTGCTGAACATTTTGCTCTTTCCCATCAAATTATTATTATTATTATTATTAAGATAGCAAAGAAAGCACACCAGATGTTTTAAGCTACGTGAATTATATGCATGAAGGATATCTGTACTACTACGACGCTGTTACCAGGTGATTGTGATATAGTTCACTTTGTGAAGTATCTTATATGCATAAACTCAACCTTGATTATATTTTGTAGGAGGTATGGCTCACTGGATCAGATAACTAACCATCAGCCGCCAATATGGCGGCAGGTTCGAACTCCACCCGCTTCACCCAGCCAACTTCATACCTAAGCAACTAGATGACCCCGTAAGAAAAAAGTATGGATCATAGATTTGTGCACGCAACATCGTTGTCTTCTGAAGTGATGACAACCAGTGGTGTCTGTTAGGTACGCCAATTATCCCCGCTTGTGTTAAATTTCATCAATGTTGTATGAATGGAGCTAACGCAAACTGCCTTCAGGGATTAATTTGTTACCAGGGTATAGTCTTGTTGTTGATATAAGAATAAAACTTGTGCACTGTGCTAGAGTATAATTTCATTATGAGTAAAATTTATTTTGATTAAGTCTTACAGTGTTGTTATACAGTAATGTTTACTGATGACGTTTCGAGCACAATTTATTACTGCTCATAATCATATCAAGGTACTCACACGACTTCCTAACTTCATTTATACAGTTCCATTATTTTTCACTTGATTTGATTGACAGTAGTATTTTCCATATTTCAGGTATGAGTGATGAATCATTGCATCCTATTGTACGTGTTTGGTGTAGACTCAATGAACAAGGATTCAGTAATCAACTTCTCTCTCCACCTACCTATGTTATTTCTTAGAATTTTAACCCTCTCCCCCCCCCCAATTGTGTGGTTGTGTGTTAGCGCATGCATTGCAATTGCTGAGCTTTTTTTTCTAAATTACTTATCTTTTCAGGGTCAACTATCCTTACCTTAGCTAAATTCTTATGTTCTGACAATCTGACTACCCCTGACCTACTAGTTTGACCTCACAGTCATTGCAAGGTATTTTTTAAATTATATTATTTTGTCTAATTGGGTCCACCGGGTCCTTTAACCCACAGAGCTTGTCCCTGAATGAGTTTGTAGGTTTAAATGCCACGTGCAATAGGAATGACTCATCACCCACACCGGAAATATGAAAAATACTACTACCAATCAAGTCAAGCGATGGAAAATAATGGAATAACATAAACGAAGTTAGAAAGTTGTGTGAATAACAACAAATTGTGCTTGAAATGTGATCATCAGTAAATATTACTGTATAACAACACTGTAAGACTTAATCAAAATAAATTTTACCGACAATGGAACAGTCTTGTTGACGTAGAACATGCCGATGAAATAATCCTGCCTCCTAGGTGAAGATACTGACAAAATGCAGACAGGGTTTTCTGAATACCTTGAGGATTAGCAGCAATCTTCGAATGTTTGGCATGCGATTTGCTCTTGTTGTCAAATATACGATGATGCTACAAGAGTGATCTGTATCAACTCCCTGGCCTTAAAATACAAAGTCAACTGGTAAAGCATATTGACCAATTTAGTTATTTGGAAAGTTGCATCAACCCTGATGGACTAGTCTCTGACTAAATATCAACACGAACACAGAAGGCTCGTTTGGCATTTGTCAACATACATAATCTCTTACATAGATGTGATATCGTAGTTAGCTATCGATCAAGGGATGTGTATACTGCTCAGCAGTTCACTTCATCCTCCTTTATGGCTGTGAGTGAGACATAGTCACTGAAAGTGGATGACATGATGTGTCTACTTCTTGTCTCCCATATCAGGTGGTGATATGATACTTCTTTTTTAATTCCTTTACGTTCCGAGTAGAACACAGGGCTATAAGCTAGAGCTTTGGAATTTCCGTAGCAGTGGTGTTTTTATTTTTACGGGATGGGGTTCCTAGCCTCCTGCCTAACCTTCCCTCTTTACCAGTCCAATTACTGACTTAGCAAGGTAAAGGAGTGCGTTGACTGGGGATCGAACCCCGGACCACATGCGTGGTCGACGAGCATTCTACTGCTGTGGTGCCACTGACGCACAAGTGGTATGATAGGGTGAGTTATAATTAGGTGAGGAGGCGTCAAGTGATGGGTAAGGCGAGAAAATCAATCGATGAGTTTGTGAAGCTATATCAACTGAAATAGCTAGGCCACGTATTTTGTTACGCTTATCTAGCCATCGCCTTCCTCGACAACGGGCAATGTGTTAGCTGACTGACATAGGATCAGGTTGGAAAAGAGCTAGTAGTGATCAAACCAAAACATAGTTTCATCAGTTAATGAAATCCATCACAGTTAGCTTGAGCAAGCCACGTAGGAAGGTGTAGACCTCCTGACTATGTGGGGTTCTTGGAATGGTAAGAACTAATAGCTGCAGGCAATTAGTGATATGGTTCAAAATCGTTCTAAATGGCTCAGAGGCATTCATTCTTCATGGTTTGCCATATCCAATAAAAGCCTATTGTTTATTTTCCGTGTAACTATTCTCTCTCCCTCTCTCACATTTCTGCTTATTATCGCTTTTTCGAGTCCCTTTTGTGTGCTACATGGAGCGGTGTGGTAACTTGAACTGTTGCACTTCTGTGCAAAGTTCTTCGTTGAAACCAGTCAGTCAGCATGCAACACCTATTCTGGATAGCTGAGTTACCTCCTCGATATTACTCAATGTTTTCCAGGTTTTGACAACTGACAGTGAACGTTTTTATCACCAAAACTGGTGTGATTCGGCACGAAATTCAATAAGGTTTCTCTCTTTGGCTTTCTCTCTCTATGTCTCAAGAGGGGAATATGAAGTAGGCGCTTAAAACTTCCAACTGTATTCATCAATCTCAACTTGACTGAGATAATTAAAGACTAAAAGATTAATGATAATAATAATAACTCACTCTGTTTGCCAAGCTTTAACACGTTCTAAGTGAACCTCTTTATCTCTTGTATAACTTTCAATAATTGGAGGCATAGACGATGAAATAGCTAGGAAGAAAAACACCGGAGGAAAAGAAAACGATGAAGAGTATAAACACCATTGCATTAGAGGTACCAAAGAACAATACAGTATTATAGTAAAAGTCAGTCTGTCATCGAACACGTAACTCTCTCTCTCTCTGTACAGTAGCTCAGTATGCACAACATGTCATAACAACTATCCCCTCCTACGCCTACCATAGTGGCGCTGCGATCTCTGGATTCATTTTTTAGTACTTCTGTGGGGATTGCATCTAGTGTCTTGCTGCTTTCCCAACTAGCTCTTAGTAACATAATGACTTTTAAGACATCTGATTGTGTCCACGGGGTTGGTGGTGGCGTTTCTGGGCGAGCTGCGTGCGGTGATCGATTCAACGAAGTCCTATGAATTTTTCACTGTTGCATCTCTTTGTTAATTGGATTTCCGTTACTTTTTTTTACTGAATTTGTTTGTGTTGATTTTCTCCTGGATAGCCATCCCGGTTATCTGGTATACGGTGATCTGATGTCCCTCTTTACCTGCAGCCTATGCTGCTTCAGTTTCCAGTGTAGTGTATCGTAGAACTGTTGTTTGGCTTCCCCAGTACTCTTATTCTCTGCTTTATTCAGTGCTTCTCCTTCAGTTGTTCATCTCTACACTGGCTTATCTTCTGTGTCACCTCATCTTTTTCTCCTCTGTCTACTTCTTCCAGGTGTCCGTATAATTACAGTGCTTCTTGTTTTATTCAGTATTCTCACTTACAATCCACAATGAAATAAGTACGATAAGATATTCAAGCAAAGAATTTGACCTATTCCCAAAATACTAACATCTGGCAAGCTGTGACTTCCTCAATGATTACACACTAAGTATTTGCAATATGTAACGCTGATATTTTAAATCGTGGTGAACTGGATTATGCGGAACGCTGTGCCTGGGGAGCAAGAATATGGGAATACGTTGGACCACCGATAAGAAGATCTGGACTTCGAGAACGATTTATGTCCGATGTCATAAATATTAGAAGACTTACAAGCAAAAACCAACACATTGGAGGAAGAAGCTACAAAGACAGGACTTCAAGTGAACATAGAGAAGATGGAGGTGATGAAGATAATCAATCAAGAACAACAACAACAAGTACCAATCACTATCAAAGCGGAGGAATTTGAAAGAGGTTACTTCCTTCACCTATCTATGAGGCATCAGCTCAACTATAGGGACCTGATACGGATGAGAATGTCAGAATGTCACAGAGGGCTGGTTTCGAATATGCCAGTTTACGCCGTCTCTGGCCTAGTAGACGAGATATTCGACTATCGACCAAAGGGCGTGTGTACTGCTCATCAGTCAGCTCCGTCCTCCTTTATGGCCAGCTGTGAGACCTGGCCATTAAGAGTGGAAGACATGAAAGGGCTAGGTAGCTGTCTTTGATCATAGGTGCCTGCGCTCTATTTCCCGTGTAAAGTGGCATAAAAAGGTGACCAATATTGAGGTTAGGCGTCGAGTTCTGGGTAAGGAGGGGAAATCAATCGACGAGGCTGTGAAATTACATCGACTGAGATGGTTAGGACACATGTTACGGATGCCTAGTCATCGCCTTCCTCGACAATGGGCAATGTTAGCGGATATAGGGTCAGGCTGGAAAAGAGCTAGCGGTGGTCAAACAAAAACATGGCACCAGTCAATGAAATCTACAACAGTTAGTCTAAGCCACGTAGGAAGGTGTAGACTTCCTGACTGGTTGGGTTCCTCAGGACGGTAAAAATCAATGGTTGGAAACAATTGGTGACATGGCTCAAAATTGTTGTCAGTGGCTGGCGCAGATGCATCCACTCCTTGTAACTTATGATTTCCAATGAAACTGTTTTGTTCTTCGTTATTACTGTTCCTTTGTCTCACACCTCTGTTTACTGTCTCTATTATGCATTTTTTGTCATTTTTTCTCTTGCTTTGTGTGCTACAAGGAAGGAGTGTGGCGACTTGAACTTCCGCACATTTGTGAAAAGTTCTATGTCGAAAACAGACAGACAGAATGTCAAAAGCACATCTTGGTAGTTCTGAAATCAATTTGGAAGTCGTCTTCATTCCGCAGCATAAACAACAAAATTCGGATTTTCAACACCTATGTCAATACAATCAGTTATTCTATATAGGGTAAAAAGCTTGGAGAACGTTACACGAAAGCATTCCCAACAACCAGCTGCAGACTTTTATCAACAGATGCCCTCACTGGCGCCATAATGAAGAGCTAATGACAAACCAGAAAGAATTATCAACAAGAAACTATGGGAAAGAACAAACCAAGGACCGACAGATCCACGAATACTCCGAAGAAAACGGAGAGGGGTGAATGGACACACTTTAAGAAGACAGTTGGGTGACACCTCACGCCACATCGTCGCTCAAGTGACACTCAGGTGGAAAACGACTAGTTGGGCATCGGTCCAAAGGTGACATAGAAGAGATCATGTGAGGAAGAGATAAGACACTATGGGGAATCCTGGGACCAGATGAAGAGGACTGCAGCGAATAGGACAAAACAGAGACGTGCTGTTGAATCCCCATGTTCCACTCGGAAACCCAGGGGAATACCAATGACAATAACACGCCACAGTTTCAAGAGTTTGAAGGTGAGTGGAACCCAGTTTATTCATATTATTTAGCAAATAAACAACCTATGTAAAAATAACTAGCCAACCAACCATGAATTTAATCTCAGTTTAATCACCTACCTTCTCCAAGGGAGTCTAACAATGGATTCATTCTTTCTTCTTGTTTATCTTCTCTTAACTTTTTGAGTCTACGCATTACAGCTTTGTGCTTCAATTGTAAATGACTTTCCAAGTACTTGAAGACATCTGATCTGACAGACTGATTCACCATTAATTCTTTTAATTTTGTATCCAACCTAAAATATGATATATATAGGCAAAAAATTTTTAACATATTACAAAGAATAACAAAGAGTTGGGAATGCAGAACAGTTGTTTGTCGAAATTTAATTAACGCAGTAAAGATTTCCTTTGTTAGTGTACTTCTAGGTGACCGGTCTCAGGCAATTGTACTCTGAGTTTTGCTGTCATGCAACAGTAATGCTTTATCCGTTCCAGGTATGGCGAGATGAAAAATCCACTTCCGTGATATAGATAGCCCGGAAGTAATAACTCCCCACATTACTTCATAAGCACGCAAAGCCCTGCTAATCTTCATCTATCTTCATTTTCTTGTCTTTCTTTCACTATTAATACTATTCCATACGTAGGTTATCCGCCTTTTTTTAACTCTAAAACCATGAACAGAGATCATAACCGGAGGAACACAGCTGATAGTCTTCTAGAATCACTTTGCTAACTTCGTACTGGAGCGCTCAACATAAGAACTCTTTGTCGAACCGGACAACAGGTTTCATTAGCAAGCTTTTTGGCACCTTGAGCTGTGGAGGTATATTGTGTTGCGGAGACCCGCATACAAGACCCAAGTGACTACTCATCGAGATAATGAGTCTTAAAATGTTACCCTACGGGTATCAAGAGACTCTTCGTCTAGTTCAAATGAACTTGGAAGAAAGAAAAATAATGACTACACAAACATGCGAGATTTGCATGAGTCATCCTGAGGAGCCTGACATAATATCCAGTCGGTTGTACAAATAGTGGTAAAGTCTGTTGATAACTTGAAACTCCATGTTAGTAAACCCTAGTGAATTTCTGTTGCTTTATTTGAACTGATAGACACAAGATGTCTGTCTGTCTGGATTCAACATAGAACTTGGCACCGAAGTGCAGCAGTTCGAGTTGCCACGTTCCAAATAGCACACAGAGGTAGACAAGAAGATGAGTGAAGAGAATCAATAGAGTTTGACAAGTATAAGAGTGAAACAGAATGGGTAATGGTAGAAAGGAATATGAAAGATTACAGAGACTGAATACATCTGCGCTGGCCATTGACAACGATTTTGAGCCATGTCACCTATTGTCTCCAGCCATTGATTCCTAGAGTCCCGAGGGCCCCAACCCGGAAGTCTGCATCTCCCTACCTGACTCAGTTTAACTGTCAAGGATTTCATGGATTGATGAGGCCATGTTTTTGTTTGGCCACCACTGGCTCTTTTCCAACCTGCACCTATATCAGCTAGCAATGCCCGTCGGGGGAGGCGGTGGTTAGGCATGCGCAGCACGTGACCTAGCCATCTTAGTCTATGTAACTTTATAGCCTCGTCGATTGATTTTCCCTCTTTGCCCAACACTCTACGCCTAACGTCAACATTACTTACCTTATTAAACCACCTAACGTGAGACAGAGATCGCAGACATCTATGATCGAAAGCAGTCAACCTTTTCATGTCTTCAACGCGTATTGGCCATGTTTCAGAGCCATAGAGAAGGACGGAGCGAACTGATGAGCAGTACACACGTCCCTTGGTTGATAACCGGATGTCACGCCTACGCCAGAGATGGTGTAAGTCAGCGAAAGCAGCTCGAGCTTTTCGGATCCGTGCTGAGATTTCATCGCCAATCAGTCCGTTGGTGCTAATACAACTTCCCAAATAGGTGAAGTGGTCAACATGTTCTATCACTTCACTCCCTATCACTAAGTTAGGAGTTGACGTGGTCCAGTCCTGTAGCAGCATCTTACATTTTGTAGGGGCGAATCGCATGCCAAACATACGAAGATTGCTGCTCAAGGTGTTCAGAAGACTCTGCATTTTGTCAGCATCCTCCCCTAACAGGACTATGTCATCTGCATATTCTAAGTCCATAAGACTATTCCCTGGTAACAAGTCGATTCCTAAGTCATTACGTTCAGTTAAGGATACTTCCATCAGCATATCTATGATGAAGTTAAACAGAAATGGGGAAAGTGGACATCCCTGTCGGACACCACTGGTTGTTACCAATTCAGATGACAATTCCCCATAAGCCCTTACACGACTACGTGAGTTTGAATAGAGTGCCTTGATTAGTGCAATGTACTTTCTTGGCACTCCCTTCACAGTCAGACATTGCCATAGTACCTTTCGATCCACGGAGTCGAAGGCCGCCTTCAAGTCAAGAAATATGACAATTGTTGGACGCCGAAAAGTGTGTCTATGTTCTAGAATCTGTCGAAGAGTGAAGATATGATCTATGCACCCTCTACCTGGTCTAAAGCCTGCTTGATTTTCCCTTGTCTGTTCCTCCCGAGTTCTGCTTAGTCTATGCATGATTACTGAGCCTAGGATTTTAGAGACTATGTTCGTTAGGCTGATCCCCCTATGATTATCACACGAGGACTTGTTTCCCTTCTTGAATATCGGTATAATAAGTGACTTACCCCAGTCTGATGGCACTGTCTCTGATTCCCAGACTTTGCCTAGTACCTCAGTTAATCTACAAACTAGTATGTCACCCCCATATTTAAACACCTCCGGAATAATTCCGTCGGGTCCTGCCGCTTTGCCTCGTTTCAAATTACTGATAGCTTTTTTGACCTCACTACAGACGGCGGACCAGTGTCTATATCCCATTCGGGTGTGTGTGGATGGCGGGGAGGTTCAGTGTGGCTGTAGGCAAGTTAAATTGTTCCTCAAAGTGTTCTTTCCAGCGTTCAAGGCGTCTATCCTGAGAGCTAATTAAGGAGCCATTTTTCTCAGAAATAGTCTCACTTATGATTTGCCTTCTCCCACCCGTTTCCCTGATGAGTCTAAAGAGTTGCCTAGTGTTGCCTATCGCCGATGCTTTTTCCATCTCTTTCGCCTTTGTCAGCCACCACTGTTCACGGTCCTTGCGGAGACTTTTAGTAAGTTTCCTTTTGTGCAGCTTTCGCTCCTCATTGAATTCGGAGCTCGCCGGAATAAGTCTTCTAGCATCTATCAGTTCGGATGAGGCAGTCGAAATCCAGTGGTTTTTACTCACCTTTGGATTTGCCTTATTCACAGCTTTTACAGCTGTATCTATAGCTGACTGAATATTCTTCCAGGCTTCTCCAGGGTGAGCACAGCTGTCGAACTCAGATATGCGTTTAGCTAGTTCTTCCTCAAATAGGGATTTAGTTTCCTGATCGAGCTGGGGACGTGATGGTTTTACCGCCAGCTGTTTCCTACGTCCGTTCAGTCGTAAGCACACACGAGCCCGGACCAGTGCGTGATCGGTATCTACACACGTGTTCCAGAAGGAGCGACAATCTCCTACCGACCCACGCCAACGATAGCTTATTGCTATGTGGTCTATTTGTGTCCAGCGTTGGTTTGATGATGGGGGTCGCCAGGTTAAACAGTGTCTCTCCTTGTGTTTAAAGTTAGTGCTTACAAGAAACAAATGATTATCTGAACAGAACTGTAGGAGACGGTCACCGTTGTCGGTTCGCTGGCACGGAACTCCATAGGTGCCACCGACATCCTTCTCAGATTGACACAATTTCCCTACTTGAGCATTAAAGTCACCAGCTAGAACGACTATATCTGAGCGTTTAGCCTTTCTCACCAAACTAGACAGCTTTTGGTAGAACTCATCCTTCGTTTCATCCGAACTGCAGTCAGTGGGGGCGTAGGCGGAGATTACGAAAAGGCATCGGCGAGTAGTGCAGTCCTTTCTCCTTCTTACTGATCCGTTCAGACGGACAGCACACATTCGGCTATCTACTGGGATCCAGTCAAGTAATGTCTTTTCTGCCCTAGTACTCAAAGCTATCCCTACGCCAGCTAATCCTCGTGAACTGGCTGTGGCATCTCCTGACACCCTCAAGGTGAATTTTGAAGATTCATCCTGTTGGCCAGGTGGTTAGGACTCTCGCCGACCATGCACATGGTTCGGGGTTCGAGCCCGCACCGACGCACATCTGATATCTATGGTCGGCCTGCAAAATTTGGGCTACCGATATCCATGCTGAAAATTCCATACTTGTACCGAAAATACAGTGTGGAATCAAGCTGTAAATCAAAAATCAAAAAATCAAAACCACACTGATTCCGAAGGTCCCTGAGTATGATGAGAAGAGAAAGCTGCTCAAATACAGACTGCCTAAAAGTCTCCACAACAACAGTGATGTGTTGGGCGACATAGGATAAGGCTATAAGAAAGGTATCGACGGTAGGTAACATGAGACAACCAATTAAACCTTTTAGGGAGACGGGTTGTAAAAAGCGTAATACCCAAACGGGACATTTGAAGGAACAGTTTTAGGGGCAATTTACCCAGCAACCAAAACATGGGTCCTCCCTCCGCCAGTAACTGAGACAGCAAAAGCTGTCTTTAATTTAAAATGAAGCAAAGCAGCGAGACCTGATGGCAAGACTCCAAGTGCTAAAGTATGGTAGTGATGAACTACTGGCGGAATTAATACATTAAGTAATATATGAAAAGTGTGCGTCGGTGACACAGAGGTAGAATGCTCGTCAACTACCCATGTGGTCCTAGGATCGATCCCCTGCAGACGCACTCCTTTTCCTCGCTAAGTCAGCAATTAGACTGGTGAAGAGAAAAGGTTGAGCATGAGGCTAGCAACCCCATTCCGTAGAAATAAAAACACCACTGCTACCGAAATTCCAAAGCTCTAGCTAGTAGCCCTATATTCCACTGGGAACGTAAAAGGGAAAAAACATATGAGAATCCAAGATTGCCCTGTTGGAGTGGTCTTAAGCATTGATTATCCCAGTTAATACGAAGGAAGACAAGTGTCCCTGTGATAATCATACAGGGATTAGCTTGATTAAAATTCTAGGTCTACTAATCATGCATAGACAAAATGATGCCGGGGAGAAACAAACGGTATAAACCAGACACGCTTCAGACCCGAACACAAGTGTGTTGATAATATCTTTACTCTTCATCAGATTCTGGAACAAGAATATTTTCTGGTATCCAGCATCTGCTGTATGTCTTGACTTGAATGCGGTATTTGTATCCACCGACTGAGAAGTGCTATGCTGGTACCTGGCCATGGAGTGCCCAGAAAGTTTATCACACTAACCAAGGTACCGTACTCGAACCTATGCAACCATGTAAGAACTACTACATGAGTGTGCTAAGATATTCAAGGTGCACTACAAACTCATGAAGTTGTCGCATAAAGTGACGGCAACCTGCAGTGTCCGTTAGAGATGCCCAATGTCTCCATTTTTGTTTAATTTCGTTATAAGTACAGCCATGGATGCTACTTAGGGAACGACCTGTTACCAGGAAATAATGTCATCGATTTTGAGTATACAAATGATATTGTCCTTCTGCATGAAGACTTCCATAAAATGTAATCTGAACATCTTGAGCAGAAATTTTGGTATATTAGGTGCGTGACTCGCTCCTGTCAAATGCAAGATGGTGCTGTAGGACTGATCTAAATCGACATGGGCGTGTTAACTGCGTCAACTATCTGGGAAGTAGCACCAGTTCTAATGGACTAATTTTGCTGATAAAATCTCAACAATAATGGAAATGACTTGTGTGGCAACTGACAGCTTTGATCAGCTAGCTTTAGCGTAGATGTGGGACTCAGCTATCAATCAAAGGATGTTTGTACTGACCAGCGTTTCGCGCTCCACCCTATACGGCTGAACATTTTAATTACTATCTTCCTCTTTAATAACTGACATGTATTTGGGAATGAGAATGAAGAAAAGTAAGCTATTGTCCAATAATATTTGAAACGATACGCAGCTCTGAAATAAAGCGATTTTACGGTTTCTGTGAAACCACTCTACATGATAGACCGCTAAATTAAGGAGGAAAATATATATAAGAACGCATTCCTGAAAAACAGGAAAACTCCTCCACGTTCTCATCCTGAACTAATCTACTGAAATAAAAAATTTTGTGGAAATTCCGGGGAAATTCAACATTTCTCTGCAAAACACCCCGAAATCCTTTGGGTAAGTGCGAACGAAAAAGTAAGACTTTTGCCTTCCCACCGTAAGGGTAAATGAGAATGTCTGGCGCCTACAGTCGGACTGGTGGGCATGTAGGAAGCTGGAAAATCCTGATTCGAAACCTATGGTGTACATGGGCTGCAGAAACCGAAAAAATTGAAAGGCGTATGAACCTGTTTTGGTTACCAGCAGCCAACACAGCTGCTGACGCTATTCCAGTGCACTACCTCATGGATTAGACTTTAAGTCAAAGACGCGAGGACGCCCCCCCCCCCAAGAAAGATAGCCACCTGCTTCGGTCTGGACGTTCGGGCAGTATCCCAGTCCTCATACAAACGGTGCATCTTTTGGTGTCCACAACGTGCCAAGTATTTTTAATAATAAAAAATAATAGTACTCTATGCTTTACATTTTATTCCTGCTTCTAAACACTATTGAACTAGGGACTGGTAAAAAAATGAAACTGGATGGCAAAGAATAAGAATGAAGACTCACTTTAACAACTCCATATCAAAAGGTTTCCCCATAGTACGACGTTGTTGAGCTCCACATTTATTCAGCTAAAAGTGTGAAACAAGTTAATTAAACCGAATACAAATGTAATCCAGGATATGTATATGTAGCCTATCAGGTGTACTTCGTAAAATTCTATCAATGTATTAAACTGCGACATATTAGTGCTTAAAATGGTTTTTCAACTTACGACATAAACAGTATTTACACGCATGCAATAATAACCGATCTCAAAATTGCGGTTCCTCTACAGTAACTAACTGCTTACATCGCAGAAGGTGTAGTGGCATATCAACTCATCCAACTAGTTGTACGTCAAATACCCATAAAAAGGAGTCACATGTGCAGTGTGCCACTAACTAACATCCGAAGTGATTTTATAACCTCACGGAGCAGCAAGTTCTCACACTACGAAAAAAACAACATAAAATTATATCCAGAAGAAACAAGTAGATTTCGACGAATGTCTTTGGGGGAATTTACTCCATAGTGAAGATCAGATGGCTAGAAAGGATAAAGAGCAAGGAACTCTGACAGCAAATAAACCAAGAATCTACTGCATAACAAATACACGGGAGAAATTGGGGATGTTATGGACACACACTGAGAAGACAACAGAGTGACATCTTGCGCTTGGACCTAGAGTGGGAGCCTAATTGGAAAAACAATTTGGGCATCCGAGGGTGAAGTAGAAGAGGTGACAGCTTATGGGCAGTTGTGGAGCTAGCTAATGAAGGATGGCAGAGAACAGAATGAAGTGGAGATGTGCTTTTGGAGCCCTACGTCCCACTTGGGATGTAATGGGCTTATTGCATTATTTTGGAAGACTATGACTTTTAGTGATGAAGTTGGTTTTACAGAAGTTTCTAAAAACATAGGAAACTATCAGAAACTTAACTGAAACTTAAGACAATAGTATGCTTGTTGCAACTGTTAAAACATGGCAAAGTACACTGAGAATAACAATTGGCACTTAATGATAAGGTAAGGGTGAATGCGAATGTCTCTTAATGTAGCATTAGTCCGAACTTGACCACTATTCCATGTATGCCTCATCGAAGAAGTCGAAAACGGATATCCTAACTCTGATTATCCCGTTAGCGAAGTGTTGATCATTATTGATTTGAACAGTGTTCTAAGTACTCAAGTTTCCGTAACCCTAATACAATAGGATTGGCTAATTGCTAAGTGTATATAATGTAACAAGGGCTGTTTGACTCGAGTAACGTAGCGACATGTTTAAGAATGTAATAATAAGAAACAGTTTATCGTATTAAGTACGCAACTTCTAACTACTAAGTCATCCATTTGAATGTTCTATCATCCACTTAAACTTTAGTAGAGATATCACTAACTCTACTACAATTAGTAAATCACAATTGGGTAGCACTACATTGTAGTGCTGCCAATTAAGTTCCTAAAATATGAAAAATAATAAAAACTACTTTTGAATGACGGTCAAGCTATCATAAAATCCTAATCAGTACAAAAAAGAAGACCAGTAGTAACACAACAAACTAAGCCAAAAATACCTCAGCTCGAGTAAAATATCCAGATTAACAGAGACAAAGTGGATTAAAAGTTAAAAAGGATGTGAAAAAGGACGTACAGGCAGAAATCGATAAAGCTGACAATCTCTTAAGACTCTAGGATACCTATGTTCTTTCACGGCACCCTTGCACCAAAACATTGACAATTTCACATCGTTACTCTATATATTTCAAGAAAGTTAGGTGACCATTACTACAACCATAGGATGTAACAAACCAACAAAAAATAACATCTAGTCCCATCGAAGACAGGCTCCCTGTACCACTGAAAAATCACTATAGTTGAAGGCAACTTCACACACTCAAGAAATGATATCATTATATAGTAATATTGGTTTTTCGTTATAATTTAAAGCAAAGAGGAAAAGTAACCTACCTCTGTAAGGTTGTTTAGACATGCCACTATCTCGGCTGGTAAATTCTTTGGGAGAGGTTTGAGTTTTTCATCGTCAGAAGTCAAATTTACAGGAACGGATTGAGGGGCATCATCACACTTTTCACTTGAATTCTGACAGTTTACATCTTTGGCATTATTCTCCTTTGGTGTATTTGGTGAGGACAAAACTTCATCAAATACAGAGTCAAGATGACGCATCTGATTTCGAGACTCTGAGAACAGCTTTGGTTTGAAAGCACTAGGTGTTGACAAGCGTTTGACAGCTTTGTCCAAAAGTTCTCTAAGGAGAAAATAACCAAATTATGCTACTTACTTGGATTTATTCTTTTTCCTTATAGCATTATGTGATGAACTATTGTTTGCCTATCAGATAATGGAAATAATTTCACTCATACAAACCAATATCCTTGCGTTCCAAGGTGCTTCGATTTTCACATTCGTATCTTCAAGCCCTTCAACAGTCCCTTGATGTACAAAATATCCACCAAACTTAGTTGAGATATTTGGAGCAACAAAAACATCAATCTACATCTCTAACTTGAAAAGAGAAGTCATAAGAAACATACGGCTTCTGAGTCGTCAATGAACGAATCTTGTGTATCGTATCCATCTCCTGGGTCTAAGAAATCATCTATACGAACTCGTTTCTGCTTCCCACTATTTTTCAAAGTTACCATAGTTCCCTAGAATAATTAGGAGTAACAATATTTTACACTTTACATATTTCCTTTCCAGTGCTTTAGCTAGTTCTGAAAGTTTCTTTTCTTCGGTGGCATTTTCGGATGCAAAAGGATCATCCTTATGTTTTTCATTGTTAGCTGATTCCTGAAAAATTCAAAACAGAAATATTTTTTGTCTAATTAACGTTAAAATCAGAAACATTCATCATCGTATTACTATCACACCTACGCTCAAGGTCAGGCGCGGACCAATGAGCGAGCGGCACAGCCACGAGGAATAAGTAAGAATCCCAAATATTTCTACTAAGGAGATAACAGTAACTAAAATTAGATGCTTTAAATACTAGAATAACATAATATAATAGTGTATAGTAGACAGACAGCCACAAAACGCATGACATGATGTCGTACCAGGTGTTGCTGTAAAAGCTCCAGATAGGAACATTCATGGCAGCCTTCATCATCAGGCAGTGCTATTTCGAAAACCACTGTCTTCTCGTTCACTTCTTTTTGCATTTCAAATATTTACTGGAGCCCTCCTAAAACCACACCTGAAGGTGCAGTGACCGAAGCACGACGATCAGCTGAGGAGTTACAACCCCAGAGACGAATAAGTTGAAGGACGTATGTGGATTTATTGTTTGACTAATTAACACCGTCCTACTGTTGCGCAGTCATTACCATAAACAAGGTACAGTGTACCAATTTGAGGAAAATATTTCCTGGCAGAAATAATTCAAATAAAATGAAAAATTCCTAAAACTTCACTGAATAATTGGTCGGAAAATTTATTTAGGGGTCAACGGGCACTAGAAACGAGGGAAATTGAATATGATAACTAAAACAGAAAACATCAACAGTTGAAAGCGTAGGTTACATGAATCCACCTGGCAGTTTCAGATGTTTTGAAATTTCGTAATTACAAGGTTTTGAAATATCAAAGTCTTCTCAGGCAAGAAAAAACTGAATAGTCGGTTTGCAATTTGCGAGTAGTAACGTATGACGTACGAGTTTTTCTCGCATGTTAGTTGTAGAGGTAAAATCTATCAAACAAAATCAATAACACAGCTTCAGCACCACTACTCAACACTAGGTTTTGACTTTCAATATCAAATGAGTACATTGAGGATGGAAGATAATCTACGTGCAATATGGGAACAATATTTGTTGGTGTAACACACTGAAGTGGCAAGCCTGTGACTGACTTCCACGGTATGTGTTTACTTTGCGTATCATCTCTACTTCTGAACCACGATTACCATGTGCGACCATACCTTAAAGTCCATAGGTATAAGACTGTGTAAGATGCGGATTTAGCTAATCTAGTCTCGGTCAGATGATGCAGAAGACTAGTCTCAGCCAAGTGAAGCCTACTCTCAAGAGTGTGGTGTCACAGTTCCTGGTAGCCATACGTTCTCTGAAACGAGTATGTCATATCACTCACATTTACCCATGAAGCAGGCAGTTTGTATGGCCTTATGAGGGCAGTGATCCCGAAGATGAATGAAGTACCGATAAACTTTTCCGTAAATTCCACTTAGATGATAGTTTGGCGGAAAATATGCTTCCATAAAACATGTAGCAACTCTCGGAAGGCGTTTTCTAAACGTTACTTTGCATGGGTCTTATCAGCACAATTAGTTGATTACTGGCGTCACCATGCCTACTATAGGCATAGATATGGTAGGCAACCACTCCTACTGCTAGCAGCCTGCTGATGACGACTGATAGGTGTTGTCACAAAATAGCATGTCAAAGGTCAGAACCTATCCCTGATAAAAAATTAGAGTCGTAGGCGATCGAACGCCATAGGTAACCTCAGACCGACAACGAGAACTCGATCATTCAGCGAACTAACAGCCACTCAGGACCAGCAATGTTACAGTTCACATCTCTAAAGCAGAACTACCTATGATTTTGAAGGCTGGAGGAATGGCCTCGGATAACCCGAGAATAGCTGAGGTGCAACTATATCACATGCTTGCTCTTCTTATTTTATGCTCGCCTAATGCCCCACATATTGCACAAGAAGCACATCAAAGACCGGTGGCACAACGGCGATTATCGGCGCCTAAACGATATAACCATTCCAGAGTACTGCCCACTGGCACATGACTATGCTGTCCAATACAAACAGTTTTTCGAAAGCCGATGTGCTCAAAGTATCAAACTCAATTCCCATAGCACCAGAAGACATTGTGAAGCAGCTTTTACTCCAACCTCAGTATTTTTCGAATTAGAACACATGCAGTTAAGTATTCAGAATATAGCACAGACATTTCAGCTCTCTACTCTGTGACCTACAATATGTATGTGCTCTCTTAGGCGTATTTCTTATTCCAAGTCATGTTAATGAAACTTTGTTTACAATAGACTGTCGGTATGGTGTCGTTTTTAACTATCAAAGGGGCCAAGCAATGGAAAGATCACTTACTCTCTGTGGAATACTATTGGTCACAGAGTTATATGCCCACTTTACAACAATGTGCAAGACGTTTCAGACCTTCTGGATTCAGGGGCCATAAAATGTCCTGATGAGCTGCTGCCACACGTTGCTTCGGTGCAAACACTGATAGATATGTTGCGTGAAAATGTTAAGTGCATAAATCTTTAAAAATACTCCCAAAAAGCTTTTGCTACGGCTAACAAAGCTCTCGCAGACGCGAATCCACTAACTCATCATAGTTGAGTAACATCGCTGTGTAGCTCAGTTGGCGCTTTGGATGCTTTGACCGGCCCATTCCTAAAACAGCTGGTTAGCAACCAACGGCAGTAACCTACTTTTTCCTCAAGGCTGTTGTTTTTCATGGAAAAGTTGAGAACTTTCGATAACAAGTCTCTGGTTGCATGCTACATAGCCTACGCTCAGGAATGACTGCGCGTTTACACATACCCTCTCACGAACATCTCCCCTCACTTCCATCAACAGCAGTGAACATGGTAAATTGACTAGTCTTCAAAAAGAAGATCGTGAACCCCAGCGAACCCCGCTGAATAGATATCTGAAATAATAATGAATAACACGAGGTTCGCTCCCGAAAGCTTCCCTCTGCAGCACTTCTTCGGCGTACTCCGTCCTGTTTATCTCTGTAGAGTCTCAAAACTACAGGATGCCATGGTTGCTGTCACGCCTAATATCGAAACTTGAAACACTACAGTTGTACTTTATATGCCATTTTGAACTTTGCGTTAATTAGACAGTTATGTGTTCGTGGTGCCTGGACGCCGAGTGGGCTCGTATCTGAAGGTCCGTACCATGCCAATCGGATACATTCCGCTTAATAGAACAATAATCTCGTGGCTTCTTAACATTCTGCTATCAATATAATACCGTTTGGAACCATTCGGTTTTGTTCTGAAATCAGCCGAGTTCATGTGGAACAAGTTTTGTTTTGTTTCGGTTTTGGTCGAAGACTTCAAGTCCGTCTTCTCAAAAGTTGCTTGTGCAGTGCCTGTAACAAAAATCCTTCAAATCGGTTTGGCAGAGCATCGAGTTTTCAGTTCGGTCTTGCCCAGTGTACAGGTTCTGGAATTTGTTTTGGACTATTGAAGAATACCTCCATATTAATTTGTGGTATTTTCTGTATGTTGTCACCAAAAGTTAATACAGGAAAACCGAAACTGAAGTTCACTTCTAGCTGTCGTTATGCTGGAATACAAAAAGACAAACCCCTGAAAGGGAGTTTGATTTTACTCACACCTTTAGTTGTGGTTCTTAATAAAGTGAGCGTTTAGTAATTCTGAAGTTTTTTCGCGCAGTTCGCAGCTTGAGGAAAAGCTAGCAAGGAAGATGAAAGATACAGGAGGGTCGAGATAGATCACTTTTGATATAAATACACGAATGTACAGCTTAGATGATGACTTCGTCGAAAAGAAAATTTTCTTTGCTGCAATCGTCTTCTTAATAACTCCCATGACTCAATGCGTAAATTACGAGATAGTAACTGGATCCTGGTGTCACTGCAATGTACCAGAAGAAAAGAAAAGCACTGATAGGTACACACATTTTCAATGTGACAGGAACAGTAGTAAGGGAGGAGGCTGCCTAATGTACTTCCTGAACATGCTTACCTCATTACAGATAGGAAATAGGGAACTCAATGACATGCACGACACCCTGTGGGTCAACGTACACTTTAAAAGTGCCACACTACTAACAGGATGTATCTCCAGAGCACCTGGTATCTTGAGTGATTACAAGACACAACTTATGAATGCACTGGAGCAAGTATCCACTCTTCCATACAACTATAAGATCATATGTGGAGACTTAAAACTACCCGAGCCCAGCTAAATATGACAAGCCCTCAGGTACACTGGGCATTTTTGGCTGTAAACAAACAGTCACTATTTCTACAAGAGGTGACAACGTGCTGGACTTAATATTCTATCGCGATATAACTCCCCTCTAAATCTTAGTGGGTTCTAAGTTTTCAGGTAGGGACCACAAAACAGTGATGTGTGCACTGTCACTTCCACCGAGTAGCAATACAGCTAATACCTCCATCTAACACCAAGTAACAAACAGGAACTATAGTAGGGTAAACTGGGCCTAGGATTCCCCGAATGGGGCGAATACTTCACTATTGATGACATTTCGAGAGCTCTGAGCATCTTCTACCATAACTCAAACACATGCTTAGGTGCTGTCGTTCCACTTCAAACACCAAAGTTTCCCCCATTGAAAGCCATTTGTAAAACCAAAGGATCATACGAAACAGGAGAGACTCAGTAATTCAATTCAAATACCATACTAGGTGTAAAACTTAACGCTCTTAGGCCGATTGTCAGTCACGTCTCGTAAACAGTCAATGCCCAGCTCTTGCTACGCTGGGACTCACGCTGTTCCTTGAAGTTTCTCACAAACGCTTAGTAATAACGGACGCAAAAACCAAAACACCAATTGTTGACTCGACGATTCTTTATTGTCACACCAACATATAAATAAAGTATGACTAAGGTCTGTGAACAAATATTACAATAAGAAATCACGGTTGTCTCCTGACCGATGAGACGATGACTGGCTGATTGATGCTTCCGCGAAAATTGGGGAAGTTGGTCTTGAGCAAACAACCATGAATTGATCGTTCAATCTTCAAGTACATTGACACCAATCTTACAAGCTCGAGCTTTGTGTATGAGAAGCGAGGAACGCACCGCACTAGTCAGCCCTGCTAGTGTGTATGCCCTCACGGAAATCTTAAAGAAGCGATTAAATCGCAAAAACCACAGCACTTCTCTCTCATAGACAGAGGTAGGCTATGTACTGACTCTGCAGACATGCGTGAACTATCCAACAAAACTCCTGAAGCTGACTAGCTTAAGCCCACAGTCCCATTACTCGGTAAATGCCCTACTACTAACATTGCAAAACGTCCATCTCCACCCCCACCAAGGCAAATTAGTACTGCTGAATTCATTTATGCTAACATTAACCAAACTATTAGGACTCTCAAAAGCTCGAAAGGTTTTGCCACTAACAGTGTATCATCCTACTTTTATAAATATGGTATCCC